ATTTTCGTCATAATCTGCACATTATTAGCATCAAAATTGACGTGGCAGTTAACACTGGTGGGTTTTGATGTACCTTTCTTCAAGTTCAAGACAACACCCCCTGTAGCCAGAGTTGGCAGAGCAGGTCTCAGCAACCCAGCGGTGGCTTTTGCAGAGAAGAAGGCAATAGACATGCGTGAGAAATATGCCAAGAACCACTTTACCCGAGGAAAAGGAAAACACGGAGAGAAGGGGTCGAGAGGAATACAGAGTTCGAACTCATAAAAGTGTCTAAGGAAAGCCTTAGGATAATATCATATATCTAGAGCTTCAAGTATTTCCCAGATCGAGTGGAACTCGACAGTTGGAAAACTGAGATGAAAAAACGCCTCTCTCCACAAAGTACAACGATCTATCAGTGTGGACCTCACCTTCTCTAGGTTCCCCCCCCCTTTCCTGGCCTGATTGTGGGAACCTCGTTACCCATTACATTTTGCATAAAATATGCGAAATAAACCGTTCTGCTTCCTAAACACTGAAACCAAAGACTAAAAGTGCAGTGGACTGGAGAGAAGGAAGTGTGATAGCCACCCTTTCCCACCTCGGCTTTGTCCTTCTGGAGAAGACTGCAGCAGCTCTGCGCTCTGTGAAAGACATCATGCATTCTCCGTCTACTCTGTGGCTTCTCACACTTCATCCTCCTGCTCCCCTCGGACAAAAGCCCCTAGTAAACTGAGATTGAGAAAAATCTGCCTTTTCCTTCTCTCCGTTGTCTAAAGACAAAAAGAGCAACAGCATGAGTCTGGGGGATGACGCTCCCTCGCCCACCATACTGCCCACCATACTAGCACACAGCTCTTTGTCACGGTGTCCCATTGCTTCTAGCCACTCCCCCGGGTGACTGGGCCCCGGGGGCGGGGGGGGGGGGAGTTGATCAGCTGGAACTGGACACCCTGGAGTCTGACTGGCCATGGAGTGTTGTCTTCCCAGAGACCAAGGCCTCCAGACAGGAGAAAAGCGGGGCCTACAGAGCGGGAACCACATTTAGAAGGCGTAGGGTTGGGGGTGGGGGGGGACAGCTAGGTTGGAGATACAAAAATAGAGATCATTGTGTGGGGGGGACCACTCCAGGCCTTTGCGCCAGCTCCCCCGCCCCCCACTCGGGCAGATTTCTTTCGCCCTCCGGTGCCCCGGGGCTCCCCCTAGCGGCAACTCTAGCCGAGGGCCAAGCAGCGGGGGGCCCCGAGCGGACGCACGGCGAGAGGCAGGCGCGGCCCCTGGCGGCGGTGTAGTTATCTGGTGAGCGGCGCCTCGTCCCTCTGGTCGGGCGGGCTGACGGCGGTCTTGCTGAGCACCGCGGCCGAGTAGGGCAAGAAGCCGCTCTCGGAGCGCGGCGCCGCGGCGCTGCAGCCGAAGTCCGAGCCGCCCGCCGTCCCGGCTCCTCCGCCACCGCCGCCACCGCTGCCTCCGCCGCCCCGGGAGCCCAGCGCCGCCGCTGCAGCTGCGGCGGCGGCGGCTGCAGACTGGCTGCTGTGGCAACTGAGGCAGGAGCAGGGTGCCGAGCTGCCGCTGGGGGGCGCCCCGGCCGCCGCCGCCGAGGAGGCCGCCGCCGCTGCAGCCGCCGCTGCAGCCGCTGCCGACGCCGCGCTGTTGAGCCCCGCGGCGGCGGCGGGCGCCTGGTAGAGCCCCGGGTGGCGGAAGCTGCAGAGCAGCTCCGGCCGCGAGTAGGGATGCGAGAGCGCACGGAAGGTGTCCAGAGGACGGATGGAAGTGGCGAAGGGCGACGATGCCGCCGCTGCCGCTCCCGAGGCTGCGGCCGCCGCTGCGGCCGCGGTGACGCCCACGTGCGGGTAGTAGTGCAGCGGCACGTGCGAGTGGAAAGGGTAGGGGAGGCTTCCGGTGGCCGCCGCGTGCGTCATCATGTAGGTGTAGAAGCTGGGGTCCGCTGGATGAGGCCACGACATGGCCAGGCGCTGCCGTTTGTCCTTCATGCGCCGGTTCTGGAACCACACCTGCGGGGACAGCCGCGCCACCGCCCGGGTTAAGGAGCGCTGGATATTTCCAGCCCCCGCCCAGAGTCTCCAAAACCTTCCCAGGTCCCAGAGTAGCCTGGCCTACTTCTTTGGCTCAACCCTGTTGCTCTCCCACATGGGACAGGGTGCACAGGAACTTGCGGGCCTCCTAGGCACACCGTCCACAGCCAAAAGAGTCTCCTCTCCTGGGTTTGGTGCGACTCCTCGGGTTCTGACTCTACACTTGATGCTTTTTTTTTTTTTTTTTTCCCTTTCATCACAAACCAACCTTTTATCTCCCTCTGTCTACCCACCCACCGGTGCCCAGCCTCACTGAACACGGGTCTGTCAATCCCAGGATTTGCACGGGGATTCCGGGTAGCCTTTGAAGAGAGGCTGTCTCCAGAATTTGAGAGGTAGCGGCTCCAGGTCTTGAGCCCTCCGAGCTGCAAGGACCGTTCCCTAGGGGTATGGGTCCGATTAGGGTATTGAAAGGATGATTTTGTTGGAATCATTTGCTTTAAATGAGTGGCAAAAAGCTATGTGCCCAGAACCTGGAAAGGGAACTTTTCTACTCCTCCTAGATAGTATCTAATAAAGACATCATTTGGCACAACTCTAAATGAAAGAAAGCGGGATCAAACTGGAGGACTTCTATACCCATCTCTTCTTTTGCTAAAGAGCTGAACACTTGCTCTGTGAAGTGCTCACCAAGCCTACCTAGTTTCCAGCCATCTCTTCTGAATGCAAAATAAAATAAAAATTAATAATCTATATTACATAAATTCGTTGTTTCCCATTGCCCAAGAGAAAAATTCTATAGGAAACTAAGTCCTCAATCCAATAGATTTTTTTAAAAATACTGTAACCTTTACTTTAGGTACTAAGGATTTATGTTAGAAATAAATCTCCAAGATCAGGAGCGAATGAAAAGTTTCACCTCGGGTGTGCCAGGGAACAAAAAACAGCCCGCCTTGCGGCTTAGAGCAAAGGAGAACCTTGAGCACAGGCCAGGAGGCACCTAGACAGCAGTTGGGTAAAATTGTGAAGGGAGAGGGTTTGGTCACAAGCATGGGCCTCGAGGTTCAGAACGCATTCTCGGGCTAGCAAAGCCTGCCAACCGATTGGGATTCCGCATAGGAGAAATAAATAAGTCTACTCCTTCGGTGACAAACCCCGTGGACTCCCACAGCTAATTCTCGCCACCCAGAAAAGAAGAAAAGGGGGGGGGACATCAACCAGGTGCCCCGAGGGAGACCTGAGCAGACACGCGCCAGAATCGATACCTTGATGGTGGTTTCGGGCAGGTTGAGTGCGGCGGCCAGCTCGCACCGGCGGGGCCGAGACACGTAGTTCTCCCGGTAGAACTCCTTTTCCAGGCGTGCGATCTGTTCACGGGTGAATGCCGTACGGTATCGCCGCACCTGATCGGCACCAGAGCCGGAGCCCGAGCCACCCAACGCAGCGCCCCCGCTGTTGCCGCCGCCGCCTCCATGTAGACTGCCCAGGCCCGAGCTGGAGGCCGACGTCGTGGTACCTGCGACTGAGCCGCTCTCGGTGTACCCTAGCAAGCAAACAATCCACAACGCATAAGAAGCTGTAGGGCCCAAGAACCCTGAGCTGGGGTTGCTAACTGGTGACAGAAGAGCTTTCGGGAAGGAAAGTCACTGTCAGAATTGATGGGGGTCTGTCAGTCTTACAAATTGCTGCTGTTAATAGAATCAATGAAGTTTGGGGAGCCTTTCCTAACCAAATAATAGAAACGGAATTTAAGAAGGTCGTTCTTTTTCCAGTAATTAGAAAATTTCCACTCTGTAGGAAGACTAACGGAGGAGAAATGCCTACTTGGAACGCAGTTTGAGAAGCTGTGGGTTTGACATGGTCTGGAAACCACAGGATGGCCTTCAACCTTTCTTTGACAGCCTTTGGGTTTAAAATATCTTAGGATTTTTTTTAAAGCATCTGCAGCTCAAACCCGAGCCTGTAAAGGGGGAGGGGGTGTCTACTTTTCAACTCTTTTCTGCCGCTGATTTAAGCGGTTGTGCAGAGGTGTGGGGCCAGACTTCTCAGATTTATCCAGGCAGTTCCACCTCCACCCGGCCCTGGGGCCTCCAGAAGCAGTTGAGTTCGGAGCCCCTGCCCAGTGCACCCTTCTCCAAGAACAAGTGAGCAACCGTGGTGTCGCCTCGCTAGCAGAAATATTTACTCTGACTCAGGAAGGAACCTGGGCGAGGAGGCCTGGCTCCTTACGCTCCACAGGCCCTGGCTGAGTTGGGAAGCTCAAAGAGTAGGAGCTAGAGGGTATGGTCCCCAGCATGCGTCCCTCCCTTGCCCCTGCCAGCTCTGCGCAGCACTCTAATTGCGAGCGAGACAGAGACCCGCTGAAAGCATTGGCGGGGCTCGCGCGGGAGCTCCGAGGCTAGGGCTTGAGTCTGCCAGCTGCCGGGTTACCTTTGGCATTGTTTTCCTTGAGCGGCGCGGCGCCCAGGCCGCTGGGGGACCGCAGTGCCGAGCAGCCCACCTCCACGTCGCTGTTCATGTCGGCCTCGGCGGCCGCTTCTGAATAATGACCAGGCTTCTTGCGGCTCTCGGCGGCAGAGGCGATTTCGGAGGAGACGGTGCTTTCGCTGCTCGGGTGCTGCAGGTTGAACAAAGTGTCTATTTCGAATTTGCCCTTGGCGGGGAGGTCTCCCAGAGAGCCGTGCAGGGGAGCGGACGGCAAGCGCGGACTGAGGCGAGCCGGGTGCTGCGAATTTTCCAAGGCCTCCAGCACAGCACTGCCAGACGAATCGGACAAATTGGAGAACCTCTTGCTAGCAGTAGGGCTATGAAGCCCTCTCTCCATCAGAATCATCTCTTTTCTTATTCTTTCCATCATCTCAGCTTTCTAAAAAAAAAAAAAAAAAAAATGTCACAGTGGCCTGACTGTCCCGTCTTAATGATGGGCTGCGCCTAGGGCTGATTCTCATTCAGTCCCAGCAAGTGGCTCTAAATATTATTATCTCTTTTGGAGGGAGGCGGAAAAATTGTGGGATGCCAGAGCGAGGGAATGACTGGTCAAAATGACCCATACATCCTTCCGAGTTGGAGATGTCATTCATCAAAAAGTAGCGCCCGCTCGTCATTAAGGTACGAATGACGCTGTTCGAATAATCATTTATTGTAAAAGGTTTATAAGCAAATAAATACACGCTCCTGTCAGTGGGTAATGAAGGCGACTTCAGAGCAGACAAATAGATCCAGGTAGGAGACGAGAAGACACGAGAAGTGAAGAAGAAGGCTCCGGTCCTTTGCCCGCTCCCAGCCAGTTCTGCTCGCCCGGGGGTTTGGCCTCGGGGGTGAAATTGACAGTCTGATTAATAGAGCACGCCGCGGCACATTTCCCCCTTCATTTAGGGGCATCATTACGCTCTCAGTTTGCTGGGTTGCCCCTTAGGTCCTAATCATGCAACGCCTTCCTCATTTTTTCCATGGACACAGATAACGTGTTAAATAATAGATAATGCTTTGATTTTACAGAGTAGATCCTTGGGAAGTTTTTTTGTTTTGTTTTGTTTTTGCATTTACAAGCTAGGGGCGTAAGGGGGGCGGGTAAGGGGGAGGATACAGGAAGAGCTGCGTAAGACCTGTGCCTGCTCCTGTCAGGGTTACTTATCTTTCTGTTTTAAGAACCAAATATTAATAATAAGTATTTTATTTAACAAATAGGCCCCTGAGTTCTTTCTCTCCTTACTTCTTCCTTAGTCTGGATGCTCCCCTCAGAGAGAGAGAGAGAGAGAGAGAGAGAGAGAGAGAGAGAGAGAGAGAATCTTGTAGATTTTTTTTAAAAAATGCTTTCATGCTAACGTGGCTGGGGAAGTACATAGGGCCCATGGCTCCAAACGGAAATCATTACACAGTCCCTGGTTTTCTACCACTATTTTCAGACTGACTTCTGAACTCGAAGACCCTAGATTTTTTAGTTTGTAATCCAGCTGATGGATAAGCGTCTCCTCGTCCTCGTATTTTCCCCTAGGGGAAATGAACTAGACTGGACGGGTTTGATAGCAGAATTCGACAGCTAACTTAAAACACAATCGTGATTTACCGTACCATAGGGGCCCGCTCCCAATCCATTTTTTCTTTTTTTTAATTGCCAGCTTTCCCCGACCCTTCTCAAATAGAGGTATTTGTGACAAAGTAACTGCATTTGGAGGTCAAAGTGCAGGGAAAAGAGCCTCCTGCTACCCTCTCCCTCCCCCACTTTGATCTTTATCCACCTCTCCGTCCTCCCTCTTCTCCACCCTAGCCCCTTCCTTACCTGTAGCCCCTGGTGGTGCTGGTGCTGGGTGGGGGCACAGAGAGTCTCCGACCAACCTTGCCTCTTCTTCTTCCCGCCCGAGGCTGGAGGCTGAGCCTCTTGGCGATAACTTTGATAGTCATAATGACGCCGGTGGCAACCATTTTAAAGAAGATCAATCTTCACTCGAATACGCTCATCTCCTCCCGCGCTTGCGCTCCACCCTGCCCGACTCCGATGCGTCTGCCTCTAGCCGGCTGCCCCTGAGACAGAGATTCGCCCTCACTGGTGAGGTGCCGAGGTCAGGGAGAGTAGTACTCAGTGGTCCAGTGTATGAGCTTCTGAAGCAGCCTGAAGGGCCTGGCAATCCGGAGGACACTGGTCTCAGGTTTTGCATCCTGGCCACAACACCAACTCATACCCTAACCTGAGCCCCCTCCTTCCCACTTTGGGACACACCCAACACATTGGTGTGTGTTAAGGGGCAAACCCCTGTTCTAATTGCCCATCTGTCTGTTGGAGCTTTCTTTTTAACCTTGGACCCGTTGGGGGCGCGTCAGGAATGTAAGGGGAGGTGAGGTGTGAAGTATATTTATATACATGTGTACACATATATAGTCAATGCCAAAAGTTTCTTTCCTCTCCCCCTTGGCGCCAACTTATTTCTACAAGCAAGCTTTGCTGAAAAAGTCAGTCCCACCTCTTGAAAGTCACAAACGGAAAGCTGGGTAGGCTGGAAAGCTAAGAATTGTCGGGAGGGCTATGGCCTCCATTTGAGAACTTGACCCAGCATCCACCTTCACCCCTGTCCCAGTGGCTTTCCAATTCCAGCGGCAACCCAGTTCCTGACATTTGCATTCTCCTCCAGCAGGCTTTTGGCTACACTATTGGCTGTGCTGTTCTGCTGTTGGCCCTGTGGTAGCCCCCACCTGCTTCTCAGACAGGATGCCCAGTTCCACCGGTCCTGGCAGTCACTGCTTCAGTGTCCTGGGAGGGAGGGTCCTTCTACCAATCCTTGCTTACCCAAGGGACTATAAGGGACTCTTTGGTCTAGGCTAGGCTCCGTGGGGGGCCAAGCCCCTGGCAGCAAGTGGTCTGCTCAGCCTGGGCGGAAACCCACGGATGCCTTTATTGCTGTCATTTGGCGCCCCCATCTGTTTTCCGCGCAGTTTCAGTCGCTATGAGCTGCTTTTCAGTCGCAGAAGCCTCAGCGGCCTAAGAAGATGACCCACTTCCTCTGTGGCCTACGCGCCTTCCATCTCTTCCCTTCTAGGATTTGCCGCCTCGGGTTCCTAAAACTGGCCAATCCTGAGCTCAGAAAATGTAAACCACCCGTTTCTCCGTGACTCCTTCATTCACTAGTGGTTTTGAAGCTAGTTTGCACCTTTTAAGTGATAGATACTAATATTGCATTTCCAGAATGTTTGTTGCAGCAAGTATACTTGAAAACTACCACAGTGAAAGACATTTGTAAATTCTCACTGCATGTAGCAGAGAGTAACATTTCACTGTGGCTAGAAACTGTCCTAGCTTTCAGCCTTTGGTGTCTTCAAAATACCAACACCAAAGTACAGGGCTGAGCAATTACACAAGAACCTAAGCCCATCCATGCCCGTGAGGACTTTTATGAAGGGGATCAGTCAGGTGACATGCGGAAAAGCCTGTCTCTATTATTATCCAAAAAGCACGGTTTTGCTGGAAAGAATGACATACATGAAGGACAACACCTCTTTTTCTTTTGCTCCCTCTCTTTCCCCCTCCCTCTCTTTCTCCTCCCTCCTTTCATTTCTTTGTCCCCCCCCCCCGTGGGGTTAGACCTTCAAACTAAGTGTTTCTTAAACAGAGCCCCCCCTCACCCCCCCGTGAGGTGTTAAACATTTGGCCTGTGACTGGAGGTAAAGCTTTGTCTGGATTTGCAGAGGGATGGGTTGAGAATAAAGCCTGTGCCGCAAAGGAGCCTCACAATGTGGCGGTCTGAGCCAGCCTTCCTGACCAGTCAGTACAAACCACCAATTCTCAACCTAACGTTAGTCTCAGGCTCACCAAAGAGCTGGGACTGCAGAAGGTCATGTATGGAGATCAAGCACCTCCAGGTCTGACATATTTTCTTTCAGCTAAGAGCAGTCCTCACGACTAGGTTTCGATTTATAGGAGAGGGTGAGTGTTGTAGTAACCAAGCCTGCCTTCACTAGAGCGACTTCATGTACCCATTTCTTAGCAAATAAGCCTCTAGCACCCTGCCCCACCTGAATCGGCCCAGTCGCTTCAGTTTTCCTTCCCCCCCTCCACCTGCAATTCCAGACTTCCCTAGAACGGTTGTAGGTGAGGGCTTGAGGATGTACTTTCTTCCTGGACCCTGAGGCTACTAAGACTCGCCGCCTGCCAAAGACTCGCCGCCTGCCTGGAGTTTATGTGCGGTCAGACGAGACCCAAGAACTTGCAGAGACATCTAGCGCCAGGCGAGGGGAATTGCGGGCTCCTTTCAAGGATCCAGAGCCCCACCACTGGCATCCTTCGCCAGCCTCTCAGCTCCTCCTACATGTTTAGGCGGTTTCCAACCCTTCACCCCCTTTGCCTTGCTGATACCCAAAACGTGGATTGCCCATAGAGAATGTGAATGATGTGAAATAGTAATAGACTTCTATTTGGACTCACCGCTGACAGTAGGCATTTAGCCAGTTAGAAAAGTGTTTCTAGAAACTCACATTTTGAAAATGTGAGACAAAAACAACAAATTGCAATTCTCACTTCTGTTTAGAAAGAAAGGAGAAAATTATTCGATCCTCCAGCTCTGACCCTGTCTTCCCAAAGCCTCCTCTCCAGTAAAGCTTAGTATTTCTTTGGGAGGGAAGACACTCAAAGGCTAGGAGTACTCTCAATCTCAAAAAAAGGGGGCACGATGTCCTGTGAGAGGCTACCTTGGGATTTTAAAGAATCACGTGGCATATGGAGAGGGTCTTTGTTGTTGCATGAGATTTTCCTTTAATAGAGGCTAATTTTGTTGCTAAACCCAAAAGGATTCCATCTCAAAATATAAATAGATAATGCCCCAAACACAGGATCCAATTTTCTGACTGTTAGTTACTAAAACTCCCTTTCTACACCAGACTTTGTTTGTTTGTTTGGGTTTTACTTTGCACTTTGTTTGTTTGTTCTTTTGCTGTTTTCTTTTTTCCCCAGCCTGAGTGAAGTTGGTTATTAGCCAGAGAGGGAAAATAAGCCCCAGAGCCAGCAGACAGACATGGTTAAGAACACCAAGCAGCCAGTTCTACTCAACTTAAGCTTTTGCGTCTGAATTGAGACTTTTTCTACTGAATTTTTGGTTTCTCAAAATTAATTAGCAGGGTAGCTTGTATTTCCTGGTCATGACCATCAAGGTAAATATTTTCAAAGGAATCTCCCACAACACCATTCTGACAGGATCCTGCTGCCATCCTGGTTTTAACAGGCAGCAATTATGTGGTTAATTGAGCTCATTGCTATCTTGGCAAGTAGGACACTTCAACAAGCCTAAACTCTAGCCTATACCCATCCGTTTCCCATCCCAAAACAGATGTGCGATTTCTAAGATCTACAAGAAAGAACAGAGGATATGACTCTAGCAAGGATTCGGTTATCGAAAGGAATTCTCAAAATTTCCTCTTCAGAGGGGAAGAAGGAATAGGACCAAGCAACGGAGAAAGAGGAGTGCAGGTGCACTTTGAGCAACAAAGGACATCGTGGGTTTTTCACCAAAATCAGAAAACTTAAAAAAAAATCACAGAACAATGGGTAAGTGTTTGGAGACATTTGTGCAAAACTCTTGCTTAACAAAACCCATTTCTTTTGTTAGATTTTCACTGTTCTATACCCACACACAAATATAGGGCTCACCCTGTGTTCTTGGACATCTTAAGAAAATGATTATAAGCCTGGCATAGTGGCACATGCCTGTAATCCTACCCGTTTTGGAATTTGGAACTAGTATGTGTTACAGAGTGGGTCTGTATCTCAAATTTTAAAGGAAAAAAAAAAAGGAAGGAGTTATAATTAGATTTCAACTGGAATACATTCTGGACACAAGATACACAAGCTAAATGAAAACATTTCTCCCCATTCAACCTTAGAACTCTCTCCATACCTGCCTATCATCTTGTAAACTATGGACCTTAGTAGCTCGTATAAAAATCAGTCCTGGCATTGCCTAGTAGTAGACCTCAGATTCATAGCCCACTAGCAGTAACTTCGCTGGGGTGCTAGGATTTAGGGTTCTACCTATGAGGCCTCTCAGAGCTCTTAGTATAACCTGTTCCTGGCAAAATGCATTAATCAAAACTTACTTCATTTCTGAATAACCTTTGAAATTGGCAGAGGAACCCCAAGTTCTCCAAGGGCACCACAAAGCAGTAATGGGAAGAAGATCATATTGAGAGGTTTCAACCTGAATATTAATCCCAATTTCCCTCCTAGTCAAGTACAACTTAATTTCTTGCATGAAAAAGTGAGTCAAGGTTAATGTGTGAACCAGAATCACAAGAACATGACAAATTCTTCTTTCGTGTTTTAATTGTATTTTCTTTGTTTTCAATATATAATGTTTAATATATTAGATTGATTTTTTTAAAATATACAGTAGTGGAGGCCAAAGAGCACAAAACTACCAAAAGACTGAGTTTTAGGAAACTGAAAGTTTGTTGGTTCCAGTTATTTCTGTTTATTTTGTTTTAAAAATATTCCAACAAATGTTTGAACCTTAGGGGAGGGGATATCAAGAAGCTCCTATGTTGTTCTCTTTCTGAGTAACAGAAAGGAAAACAAGGGAAAATAAAACATTTAATTGTCAATCTCTTTCAAAAAAACTCAGCAACTTCACTACCTGCCCCTTTAAATGCAATCCAGCTCCGTTGCTAACTTTTGCCTTCTCTCAAGTAATCAAAATTATCCCGATCAACAAATGCCCATTCATCACGATCAACGAATTCATCACATTCTGCAGAGCCCCAAGAGACTCTCCCGAATTGAATTTGACCATTAACCTGTCTAGGACTTTTAAAAATCACAGCAAATTTTCTTACCTCTGTCTTCCAGTACCTCTCTCATAACTCCCCCCCCCCCTTTATTTGAGCCTTTTATGGTTACTGTGTTTTTTGTTTGGGGTGTGTGTGTGTGTGTGTGTGTGAGAGAGAGAGAGAGAGAGAGAGAGAGAGAGAGAGAGAGAGAGAGAGCCCACCCTACGAGGTCAGACCAGGCCCAGGAAGATCTTGCTGGAATCTCTCTCCTCTTTCTTCTTCTTTCTCAGGGCCTATTTTCAATCAGAGGGCAATGGTGCTGGGTGACAAGCTGGCCTCAGTACCACAAGTTTAGAGGAGTGGTTTTCTTAAGAGATAAACTGGTCTGGAAGGCTAATAGCACCGCACCGCACCGAATTGACTCGCTTTGAGGCTCTTACATCCATCCAGCACTCCTGACTCACCAAGTCTAGTATTGCTCCCAGGAGACCTAGATTCAACTCAGGACTCACAGGGATGACCCATAAATTGCTAAGATCCCAGGATAGTTACACTGGGACTCTGGGACAGAAGAATGACTGGGAGAGGAGGGGGGGATTAGAGTTATCATTATCTAACACGCTAGAAGATATACACCCAAAACTGGAGATTATCTCCTCCAGGTGCTGCCATGAGAGCCTACCCTACCCCGGTGAAGTCTGACCTCGATGTTCTGGATGGCTTTTTATCACCAGTCCCGACTTTACTTGGGGAACAACAACAACAACATTCTTTTAACTTGGCACACTCAATTTTCTGCAGTTGGCAGCCTGAAAAGGAGGCGAAACAAAGGTCCCTGGGAAAGTGAAGTTTTCAATTAATTGGTATGAGTAACGGGCGGGGGTGGGTGGTGGCTGCAAAATGCTAGAGGCCAGTAGGCTGTGGGCAAGGCGCAGAAAATTCGTGGCGGTCTACTGAGTGGCTTTCTCCTCCCGCTCTGGCCACGGAGTCTCTCTGCCGCCCCGGGAGGAGGTAAGCCAGCCGGGCAAAGTGACTGTGACTCCCGTGGCGAGGGAAGAAATGTGAACCTGGCATCCGTGAACTTCGTAGGTGCTCAGACTGTCAAGTTTTCCACTCAGGGGTGAGTGATAATCTCTGATGCGTCCCAGGAGTGTTTCCAGAGTATTTTGTGGCCCGATGGTGTCCGTATAGGAAGGATCTGCTCTGACTGATTTGTCTGTATGTGGAATGTTTTCACCCGTTGGGTATGTTCAAGGTAAGAAAAATGAGCTGCCTCGAGTTTAGGGTGTAGAGGTAGAACAACGAAAGACTAAGCAACAGGTTTAAAAAACAAAACAAACAAACAAAAAACCAGGATTGCTGTTTTCACACCACTCTGACCACCTCTGTCCTTCCCCATCATTTTGGTGTGTAGCTCGAAGAGCTGAAGAGAGGTGGCAAAAACAGCGGTCGCGGAGATGAGATGCAGGCCTCAGCGCACGCCCTGCAGACAGGCCTGAGATGGGCCGTCGCGCAATCAACTCGAGGGGGTGGCTGCAGAGCAAACTCCTGGGTCTGGGGAGGGGGGGCAGGAATGGGAGGTGGGCCTCCCAAAGGGCTGAGGAGGGGTGGGGGCCCGGTGGGTGGGTCCAGCCAGACCCCGGCTGGGAGCCAGGCTCGCCCGCGCCCCCACCCCCACGTGGCCCAGAGCAGCCAATGGCACGGTCCCCGGCCGGCGCCCTCGGGGCGGGAGGCGGCCCCCCGACCGGCCCAAGCCCCCTCCCAACCTGAACTTCGTTTTTATAAACGTCCCGCGATGAGCTAACCTGTTGGAGGGCGGGCGGGCGGGCGGGCAGGAGGCGGGAGTCTCGCGGAGGGAGAGAGGACGGGAGGGAGAGGGCGGGAGCGAGCAGGGCGAGGAGCACGGCGAGGAAGGAGGGAGGAGGCGAGGCGCGCCATGGTGTCCTGCGCGGGGCCGAGGCCGGGGCCTGGGCCGGGCCAGGCCGGGCCATGAGCCGATCGGGGACTTGGGACATGGACGGGCTGCGGGCGGACGGCGGGGCCGCTGGAGCGGCGCCGGCCTCCTCCTCGTCCTCGGTGGCGGCGCCGGGCCAGTGTCGCGGCTTCCTGTCGGCGCCGGTGTTCGCGGGGACGCATTCCGGACGCGCGGCGGCGGCGGCGGCCGCGGCGGCGGCGGCGGCGGCGGCGGCCTCCAGCTTCGCGTACCCGGGGACCTCTGAGCGCACAGGCTCCTCGTCGTCGTCGTCATCCTCGGCCGTGATCGCCACTCGCCCCGAGGCTCCCGTGGCTAAAGAGTGTCCCGCGCCAGCGGCCGCCGCGACCGCTGCAGCACCCCCGGGCGCTCCGGCGCTAGGCTATGGCTACCACTTCGGCAACGGCTACTACAGCTGCCGCATGTCGCACGGAGTGGGCTTACAGCAGAACGCTCTCAAGTCGTCGCCGCACGCCTCACTCGGAGGTTTCCCGGTGGAGAAGTACATGGACGTGTCGGGCCTGGCGAGCAGCAGCGTACCGGCCAACGAGGTGCCCGCGCGAGCCAAGGAAGTGTCCTTCTACCAGGGCTACACAAGTCCCTATCAACACGTGCCTGGGTATATCGACATGGTGTCCACTTTTGGATCCGGGGAACCTCGGCACGAGGCGTACATCTCCATGGAGGGCTACCAGTCCTGGACGCTAGCCAACGGGTGGAACAGCCAGGTGTACTGTGCCAAGGACCAGCCACAGGGGTCCCATTTTTGGAAGTCATCCTTTCCAGGTAGGAGCATGTAGAAAAGAGAAGAACACACGAGGGAAGGGGGGGGAGAAAAGCCCCTACTTGGGAGAAGTTACTTAGGCTCCAGGCCTGGCCAAGTTTTACAGGCTAGAAGTTTGTCTAGTTTCTGTAATCTGTAACTTTCCCCATTAAAACCGCCTCTGCAATTTTTTCCTTCCCCGTGCAGCAAAGAGCTTTTACCCACTAAAGTTCAAGATCTTAGTTACTTTTGCTTCTTTCCCTCTCCCTTCCCTCCCTTCCCCACACTCCTAACTAAAGATGCTTCTTTTCTAAAAGGTGTCAGGGTTGGGCCCCCACTTTTTCAAGTGGAGTTCCGATGACTACTAAAACTTCGTAGAGCCCATAAATTCCCAAACACGGGGACAGAAATTAAAGCTTGAGTAAAAGATCTGAAGTGTGTGTGTGTGTGTGTGTGTGTGTGTGTGTGTGTGTGTTTGAATGTATGTAACTGGCAACTGCCCTTATGAGCTTTCCCCAATAACCAGACCATAAAATCCCAGGCTTGTTAAAATGCCGGTTTGAAAAACCATGATGATCCATCAAATTAGCCTTTGTCTTGAAGTGCAAATAGTCTTTCTTTAATAATGTGTAAAATAATGTGTCTGTGTAAATAATAATAAAGTGTAAACAATCTCATTTTCTTTATTCTCTACCCCTGCCCAGAACTAATGCATACACAGATACATTCATATAACACAGTTCGAAGCTTGGGTACCTCAAGTAACCCAGTCTAATTTTCCCATGCTGTTGTTTGTGCCAGGGGATGTGGCTTTAAATCAGCCGGACATGTGTGTCTACCGACGGGGAAGGAAGAAAAGGGTACCTTACACCAAACTGCAGCTCAAAGAACTGGAGAACGAGTATGCCATTAACAAGTTCATTAACAAGGACAAGAGGCGGCGGATCTCGGCTGCCACGAACCTATCCGAGAGACAAGTAACCATTTGGTTTCAGAATCGAAGAGTGAAGGACAAGAAAATCGTCTCCAAGCTCAAAGATACTGTCTCCTGATATGGGCCAGGACAGTTTAAATGCTTTCAGTTGTCTCCAAAAACACCTTTGGAAAGACTTGAAAAATGTATTTAATTTCCCCCTTCCCTGCCTAGGATGGCAAGCATTGTGAATCAATCTCTCTCTCTCTCTCTCTTTCTCTCTCTCTCTCTCTCAATCTTTATCTGGCTCTAAAACTTTTGAATGCCCAATTTGACTTTGTAATTCTCCTTCTTTCTTGCTTATTATTGGTTTTGTTCTTGTCTAGGTTTGTTTTTAGAATTTTTTAAACATTGTTTCTCCCTCCAGGCCAGTATAAAAAAACAAAACAAAACTTGAAGTAGTCCCCCAATAATTTCCCAAAATGAATCTCAGAAGTGCCTATTGGATTTAGGAGTTTATATTTTTTTAACAGGACTTTATATGTGTTTCTAGTACCGACTATGCTCATAATCTATTAGGCCAGAATTGTTTTCGGCCATTCATACCCTATGATTGTGTAATTGAATCATTAGCTCTCAAAAGTTTCCCCAAGGCAAGTGGAAAAAGCTCTAAGCACTCAATGACTTAGGATCACTGGGAGAGTCTGAAACTTGGAGGTTGAAGGCACAAGATGGATTTGAAAGCAGCTACCTTATTAATATTGAAATGAAGACAATCTTCCCTATCTTTGGCAGTCTCGTTTGCTGTTTTGTGTGTTTGTTGCATGCCTTGTAGCTGTAGTCTTTTAATCTGGAAACAGCATGTCCTCATGAATGCCTTCATTCCTCCAACTCTAGATGCAGCTATTTAAATACCTACAATTGGCAGAGTGACTCCTAGATGTTATAAATTCACCCCTCTCCTTGGGTCTGGGGGAATGGAGCTGAGACCATATCCTCCGTCCTTGGAAAGAGACTAAGCCCATGTGGCCATGGGTGGGAACTTCTACCCAGAACCTAATGAAGAAGTTAATTGTCTGAACGAATGGGCCTCTCAGAGCTTTAAACCATCAAACACATCTTTAAAATATGGAGCTCTAAGGACCAAGAGGAAAAAAGACACTTCTAGATGTGATGCCGAACTACTTTCAAAATGTTGCATATTTATGTGACTGAGATATTATTTTTGTAGATGCAATGTGTGTGAGCAGTGCTTCAAGCATTTAAAAATCACTTTTTACTCCTAGGGAGATATAAATAAAAAGAACTCTCCATTTCCACTGAGTCTTCATACATATGTGGTTTTCAAGGTTGCAAAGTCTCTAGAAACTATTTATTATAAAACCTTGCTCTCCTCAGCATCTGTAGATGAAGGAAACAACATCAGCTCTGGTCTCTGAAACTTCCATGTTCTATTTCTGCCACCTCCCTCTAACACAACTAGTGATGTTTTAAAATGAGGATATAATTTGTGATGTCTAAAATGACCAACTCATTAAAAATCAATAAATTTTATTTCTTTCAACATTATCAACTTATTGAACAGTTTTCTTTATTTTCTAATCAATATGAATGTGGGAGTTTGGATAGAGGCAAACTCACTAGGACGTTTAGGACTTGGAAGAAGATCCGTTATAAATATCTTCACTAAGAAGATCCATAAATGAGAGAAAGCCATATATCCATATTTGGCAACCAAAAAATAAATATTTCAGACACCCCATTGCAGGCAGCAATTGACAACTGAAACCACTATTCTACACCTTAGCAACTTTACACAAGTTTTAGGCACCAAGAACTTTTTTTTTCCTTTTTTAAAGTTCTCTTTGCCATCCAGGGCAATGGCCTCAAAACCGCGGGGCTCCTTGTTGTTAGCTACTACTACTACAATCTAGCTAACTTTCTGATGCGCAATTTAGGAAACAGATTTCTAAAAGCTCACACAGTATGTGAACTTGTGGTAGGAGGTCTCTTTTAGGGCAGTAGGGAAAAACACGGGAGGGGGGCATAAAGTTGGGACGTACTTTCGTTTTCTCTGGTCCAATTTGCCTTGTTTCACATTTTACTGTGAATTGCAGGGGCTGACTTCGTTTATAGATACTGGCAGATATAGACAAGTATAGATACAGAATGCAGTTCAATCTATGGAGGACAAGCCCCTGAAAAGGGGGGGTCACATCATCCCGGAGGTCACACATAGGGAAACATCACTTAACATCTTGTTATTTTGCTCACAAGATGTTCTTCATCAAAAAAGCCGGCCTTAGTTTTCTTCCAAATACCGTTCTCCCTGTCCCCTAGTTTCTTTTTTTGTAGGTTCTAGTCTCTCAGGCCACACTTCATCTCCCAGGTCCATTTCCCAGGTTTCCTATATTGGGTAGAGAGGGAATTGCCTCGAGGTTTTCCTTTCATCTGGAGTTGCACGTCAGTTTCGCTGAGCCTAAGAGAAATAGGGTTTGCTGAAGATTAAAACTGCTCTCAAATGCTCTCTGGTGGCATTTGGATTGATGGCTAAATGAGGAACAGATGAAGGCTTTGTTATTTATACGTGTGCCTTTTATATTCGGGATTGCGGGAGGAGGCGGAGAGCAAGGGGTAAGTGGCTGAGGCCCTGGAAGCGAGGCCCGTGGGGAGCCCGGAAGGCCAAGGGAGTTTGGAGAAAGGCTTTTCCTTCAGTAAGAGGCTGAGAGCTGCTCAGAAACTTAGCATATTATTAGCAATTGGGGCGGGGCCCAAAATCGGCAGATGATTCCTGACTCAAGAGGTGAAAAAGGCGTTGGGGCAAAGGCTGAAGGTCAAACCAAAAACGGCCTCTGGCTTCCTCGCATCAGGTTCCTTGGCTCAGTTGTCTGGGTCAGCCGCTACAACCCCGGGCTTTCCGAGACTGTCCATAGCGCCTTGGCAGCGGGCCATGACCGCAAACGCTGCCGACCCCAAGCCCTCCCCACCGCCCTTCACTGTTGATCTTGACCGTGCGGCGGCGTCTATCCAGGCGTGGAGCACGCTCGCCATCTCCTGGACGTTCGGAGGCATTGGCAGAGTTTGCCATTCGGATTCTCGGCCAGATGCTTTTTTTTTTCCACATTTCCAGTCAAGCCTTCTTTCCTTCCCGCACGTTTCCCTGGGGTCTCCAGGTTCTCGAAAAGAACGTTTGCCTATCAGACCTAGAAAACTATAAACTTGGGGAATGAAGTGGGTCTTAAGAAGAAGGAGGAGGAGGAAGAGGAGGAAAAGGAGGAGGTTCAGCACACAGTCCCTTTATGTATTTAGTCCTGAGGGGAAGAAGAACTCTGGGGCAGCCAGTGTCTAAAAGTCTAAAGATGTGCTCTAAAAACTCTAACTACCTAGAAATCGCTATGCATGAGGCAGAGGCGCTGAAAGCACTGGGACTCCTAAAACAGAAATTTCAAGCCAAGGAATTCTCCAGTAAAGAAAGGAGAATTCTTTAAAATTATGGAAGCTATCGGATACCTTGGGTTTCCCCCTGGGTCTCTAAATTCGGAAGTGACACTTATGCCTTCTCCCACCTCCTCTGAAAGAACAGAGAGTGAGAGAGTGAGGTGCTTGTCCCAAAGCCTGAGACAGAGGAAACTCTAGTAGTGCCCCGGGAGTCCTAGACTTCCCCCACCCCCATTTTACCGCCCCCACCCTACACCCCCCCCGCGCTCCCCGGAGCCAGAGGAAGGGCTGATGGCGTCCTGAGAGCCTCCCAATTGGTCGCCATAACTCACACAATAAAGTCTCAGCTAGGTGGTCAGCCTTGCCCTCCGGCGGCGCCTGTGTGGTCTCTTTGCCAGAGCTGGGGGCCTAACCAATTCCAGCTTGGCTCAGGGACCGTGGGTCCTGCTGCAGGCGAGCACAGGCATCCATCCCCCTTTTCTCCTTCAGTCTAGGAGAAAAAAAAAAAGCCTTAGTCCCTCTGGACTTCCCCTGAAGGGCTTGCCTCAGGGATTAAGCATACTTACTACTGCACCCAAGAAGCTGCCACTCTTCCTGTTTGCCCAGCCAGTGAACCGCCCGCAGCCTCCTGCGTGTCTGGAGGCATCACAAGGAACGCAGCTAGCTAGTTGCCTGGACATCTAGGAGTTCTGGCTTATAAGGAGTAGTCCCCAGGGGGAATCCAGGAGATAAAAAGAATGTAGCTTTTGCACAAGATTGGCTCCTGGAACTGCTGAATTACTGAATGGGGGGGGGGAGCGGGTTGGATAACAACACTAAGAACTTAAGTTTCTCGGAACAAAACACCGGGAATGGTGTGAGGAATCCTTAGGTGCCACACTTGAGCAGTTTGTAACACCTTTCTCCATATTTTCATCAACTTCTTGTATTGTCTGTGGGCCTGGATCTCCAGGTTCATGGAGTGAATGCGTCCTTGCTGCCAAGCGCCTTGGACAGAGAACTGAGAGGTCCTTTCTGCGTGAGGGATTGGTGGATCGGTCTCAGAGAGTGACATTGCTCAGATCCAGCAGCAGTCGGTGGCCCTACCAGACTTTCTGCGACCAATCTCAGAGGTACCCTTACTGGAAAATGTATGAATTGCAACTTAAGGTTGATAGAAGCAAGTCCGTCCGGCCCAGGCAGCTGGAGGAAAATGAAGTGGCAAAACCAATTCAGGTCAGAAAAATTCCCAAGAGACACTTGGGCAAAGGTACCCTCATCCTGCTGTCACCGGCTTCCCAAACAGGCCTGGAAACTCTCAAGGAGTTAGTTCATCTTCCCTCAGCAAGATGTGGTTCTGCTGGGAGCCTTGTTCTTAGCAGTCCAACTTTGCGGGTGTTATCATAATACCCTGAAGGGGGTGGGGACGGGTCGGGGGATGTAGGCGGTGCTGAAATGACCGGCTTTGAAGAACCTGCAGGCAAAGTTTCGTCCAATCCTCTGAGCCGGTCCTCTTATTCCGGGTTGTAACTAAATACTGTTGCGAGCACAGCGGAGGCCCTTTGTTGGAGATGTGTGAGCGCAGTCTCTACAGAGCTGGCTATGTGGGCTCGATTCTGAATTTGCAGTCACCGGACTCTTTCTACTTTTCCAACCTGCGGCCCAATGGCAGCCAGTTGGCTGCGCTTCCCCCCATTTCGTACCCTCGCAGTGCGCTGCCCTGGGCCGCTACTCCTGCCTCGTGCACCCCTGCACAGCCTGCCACTGCCTCTGCCTTTGGAGGCTTCTCTCAGCCCTACTTGACCGGCTCTGGGCCTCTTGGCCTGCAGTCTCCAAGCGCTAAGGATGGACCCGAAGAACAGGTCAAGTTCTATACGCCTGATGCTGCCACCGGAGCAGAGGAACGTAGCCGAACTAGGCCGCCTTTCGCCCCCGAGTCTAGCCTGGCTCACTCGACTCTCAAAGGCACCAAGTATGAATACGCGGGTGTGGGCCGGGCCGTTCCAGGCTCTGCAACCCTGCTCCAGGGGGCCCCCTGCACCTCCAGCTTCAAGGAAGACACCAAAGGCCCGCTCAACTTGAACATGACAGTGCAAGTGGCCGGGGTGGCCTCTTGCCTGCGATCTTCTCTGTCCGACGGTAAACGGTGCCCATGCTCCCCAAGCCAGTTTGGGCAGGGATGGGAGGTGGGCTGCCAGGGACAGCTGTACAGGGAGGAGAATCGCCAGCAGTGGCAAACCTCTGTGGGGCGGGAAGTTAATTTGAGCGGGCTGACATGGGTCGGGGCTCTGTTTCAGGCCTGCCGTGGGGGGCGGCCCCAGGGAGGGCCCGCAAGAAGAGGAAACCTTACACAAAGCAGCAGATTGCGGAGCTGGAGAACGAATTCCTGGTCAATGAATTCATCAACCGGCAGAAGCGTAAGGAATTGTCCAACAGGCTAAACCTCAGCGACCAGCAAGTCAAAATCTGGTTCCAGAACCGGCGTATGAAGAAAAAACGTGTGGTGCAGCGGGAGCAGGCACTGGCTCTCTATTAACTGCTCACGGGGGCGGCGGGCCGTGCCAAGGCTGCCCTTTTGGACCTAGGCCTGGCTGTGGTGGTGCTGGGGCTGGGGATTTTCCTCCCACTCTCGCTGGTCCTGGGTGCCCTCCGGCTCAATTGAAGCCCAAACGCCAGGAAGAAATTTGGAAATCAGGCCACTGGGCCCTTTTGCCTTCAGGATCTCTCTTTGAGATCCTCCTAAGAGGTGTTCTGGAATTACAATCTAACACTTGCTTTAAGCTTTCAGTGGCGGCATGGGGCTTGGGGTCACCTGCCCTTGTCTGCGGTGTTTACATCCAGGGCTCTCTATTGGATCGTTGTAGTTAACCTGTTTGTATTCTTTCTCTTTCTCTATCCAGTTCTTTCTTTACTTAACTGGAGCTAGCTAGAGCTCCGAGTACAAGAGCGTGTAGAAAGGCCCTGAGACCCCATTGCAGTGCAAAGGGCCGAGGATAACTCCAGCCTCTTGGCAACAGAGGCCTTTTGTGATAAAGTGGGTCTCCACTCTGGAGGAAGGACAGTCTCTGTTCCCACCACAACCCCCATCTGCCCGGAAGGATTAGGGGGGTGGATAATTTGGAATCTCAGCTCTGCAAAGGCTTTCCTGCTGGGTAGATTATGGAAGGTTTTCTTCTCAGAGATAGGAGAGAGAAAGTGGGATTCCAGAACAAATTACAATCTCCAGACAAGACTGGCAGAATTCCCCACCCCAACCCTGAGCCAAGGCCATGCACTCTGTAACTAGACCCCTAGAACTGAGCTGTGGTGAGGGAAGCTGCTGGCCTGTTTTGAGGCTTGGCTGCACAAGGAAGAAAGAGGAGTAAGCGAGGGAGGAGGAGATTCTGTTTTCATGCTGTAGCTATGACTTTCTTCTTGAATGGATGAAGGTGTCCACGACTTTCTTTCTTGAATTATTTCAATGGGCCACCACAAGAAGAAAAAAGAGCCTCCGTGTGGAGTGTTGGCCGGGGTGGGAGCGACCTCAGATTCTCAGCCTGTGATTGCTGTTCTTGGAATGCAGAAAGAGCCGGGCAGGGCAGGGGGGGGGGTTCTTCTTTCATCCTCTCCACCACCCAAAACTCCCATCAAAGCTCAGACTTTGTACCCTTTCTCTGAGATACTTGTGGCCAGCTCTTGCAAAGGTTTTAAGGCCCTGAGAACTGCCAGGTTTCCTTTGAGGAGCCTAGGTCTTCTGAATGGAAATTCTGTTGGAACTATTCTACATTGGTTACAGATTCCATCCAGCCTTATTCTCAGTGAATACAACACACACACACACACACACACACACACACACACACACACACACTTGGCCTCTTCTTTTGCGTTTTAAGCTCCACCCCCAGCCCTTTAGTAAGATTCACAACACCTCCACAGGTTCAGATTCTTTCTCAAAGTCCAATGGCTATTCTTTAGTGAAGGTCCAAATTCTGAAGCCTTATCACAAGGACCCTTGAGCCTCACCCCAACTGACCTCACTTGATGTTTTAAATATTATTATTTTCTGTGCTAACAGTCGCCATGGATGTTTTGTTTTGATTTTGTAAAATAACATTTCCTTATATACATTAGCTGCAAGTTGCATAGCAAAAATAAATATCCAGGTCCCAACCCAAGTTTTAGGGGCTGGTATTCATTTTAAAAGATGCTTTAGATTCTTTTGTAATGTTTTTCAGGCCTCCGAATTCGTTTTTGTTTTTCTGTTTGTTGCTTCACCTCTGGTGTTTGCTATTCACTAAATGAGAAAATGGCTCCTGAGCTAGTCCAGAAAGAGTTACACAAAACTATGGACAGAATAAGTGTAAAGTAGTCAAAGGGGGAAAGTCCTTGGACAGATGTGAGTGTATCTCAAACACAAAGAAAACTCTGAGTTTATAGATTGAGGAACCTCCATTTTGCTTTAACTCTCAAACTTGAAAGCTTGCTATTATTGGGGAGGGGGAGAGTCAAGATTTGAGATTCCTCGGATATCAAAACAAAACATCTCTCTGACAAATTTTGGTCAGTCTTTTCAGGACCAAGCTAACTACTAGGAAGATCCTGTAGGCAACTGCACCAGAAGTTCAGCAGGCTCCCTTGAGAATTCTGCCCTATGCCTCTGCAGCCTAGAACTCAGTCAAGTAAGGCCAGGGCCTGCTTGATACTAGTGCTTTTAAAAATCCATGAGTTACGTGGAGATAGACACTAGCTTCTAACTAGAGGGAGAATTATGAAGACCAATGCATCTCTAATACTGGATAGGCAATGTTCCCATTCCCTTCCTCAGAAGCAAATTTTATTTATGCATGAAATATTTTTTAATTAAAAAATTTGCACACAATTGGAAGGTAAGAAAGAAGAGGTTATGAAGGTCTTGTAGATAGTATGTTTCCCCATCTGACTTGACAGGGAGGGAGGGAGTGGTACTGAGTCTGCATTGAGATATTTTTCTCTTCGAAAACAACTGAACAAAGGCAGAGCCCCATATTGAGACCTTAGGTCCAGAGGGCTGAGGAAGAAAGAAGAAACCAGACTTACTCAGACCCAAGCCCTAAAACAAAACATGCAGGCTTTCTAACTAGATAGAAACGACACTATAGTATCATGTTTCTTCTCCGTAGTCTGGGAAGGAGGAGAAGACTCCTAGAGGCCAGTCACAGAAGAAAATTAGCCTAAATATAAAATCTTATCTGTCGTCCAGCGGTGTTTTCCAAATGCATCCCCTTTACTGATCCACACAAATCCAAAGACCATGGTTTCTCCTTCCCTGGGTGAAGTACTGACAGAGATTTGGAAGCAGGATGAGAAACAAATGCCAAGGAGAAATGAAATCTGATTGTTCAACATTCCCTCGTAGAAAAATAAACGCTTTTTCTGAAACGCTGCAGTCCATGCGGCCTTCTGCCTAAGGATGAGGTTTTAAAATGAAAAAGAACTGTTTTTCCTTCTGTTCAATCCGTTGAGAGCTCTGAAGGCCGGAGGGGGGAAGCTTTTAAGGCCCAAGGGTTCTCCCCTTGGGAGGTAGGCTAGGGAGGCTTCCTGGACGCGAGCTAGTGGAGGAGAAATCCAGCACCGTCGTAATTATTCATGTCTGATGGTGGGGGAGGGAGGTGCGCCCCGTCACTGGCCTCTCCCAGCTGCATCCACTCCCCTCAGTGGTGGTGGGGGGCACAGCACCCTTCCGACTGTCCTTGGACAAAGGTGATCGCCCCACATTTTTTTTTTCCAGTCTCCACTTAAGAAACCTTTTCCGTAGGCTCTGCAGGGAAGGGACTGGCTCTGGGTGTCCCCCACCCCCGCCCCACCTCCCCTGCTTTTCTCTTCTTTCCTTTCCTAAAAGAGCATAAATAATTAAAGTTTGGCAGGGAGGAAAAGCTTTCTTGCAGAACTGTAGTGGTAATAAATGAAATGACTCAGAGTCCCTTCCCCAGTCAGCTTTTACGAGAGCTGCCAGACAGTGTCTGTTCACGTTCTCCAGATACCAGGGGCGCCCTGACAAAGTTAAGGTCAAGTTAGTGTCTTATCTTGGGTGGCTCAAAATTACTGCATCGCGTCTACGCGCTGCGCAGAAAGCTATCGTTGTCGGAGCTGCGGGCTGAGCCCAGAAGGCCGTGTGTACTCCCTGTATTTCGTGTAGGACGACATAAGCAAGGACAAGGACACAACGCACGGGGTCTTCACGGTAGGTTCTCTGGCGGAACGCGCGGATTTTCCTGGTTTTTCGGGGTGAGGACCAACAGAGAGCTGGGGCTGAACAGCAAAGCGGTCTGGGCCAGGAACGAATGCCCTGGGTGCTGTGTGGGGGCGATTTGCACTCTAAGGCGTGGGAGGGGGCATCGCCCCTTCCCCAGTGCTCCAGCGCGCCGCTGCTGATGGCGCACCCTCCCCTGCCAAAGCGCGGCTCCCGCCCGAGCTGCCGTCGCCATGTCGTTGAACTTGAATGGTTCGTCCTTTCCAGTTCCCTTTTCCATGGCCAGCAGACTTCACTTTAGGGGTGACAGTGTGCCTTACAACCCACTCGGTGGGGTGAGCAGAGGGAAGGTGCGGACAATTTTTTTGCATCCCAAGACATACAAAGATTGGGGGGGGCGCCGCTGCCTTCCGTCCTGGGCGACCCCAGGAACACTGCAGTGTCTGGGGAGCCATTTTAGGACGCAGATCCAGGGGCGTCGACCAGGAGTCAGAAAGGGAGAGACTTGGGGCTAGGATGGGGGTAGGCAGATTTAAAAAAAAGCGGTATGTGTGAGGGGGGCGCCGCAGGGCTAGGAGAATGGTGCCAGCAGGAATCTGGGTGGGGGTGGAAGATGAAGGGAGGGGTCACACAGGATGCACAGCTAGGTGACAGAAAGCTTGGTGAGCTCCAGTCATCACTGCCACAGAACTGTTTGTGCAATGTTGGGGGGGGAAGCAGGCGTGGGAGGGGGCGGAGGAAAAAGAGGAATGGAGAAAGGAGGGAGGAGAAATAGAAGAAGGGGCGACATCAGTTAGAAAAGAGATATTAACTGAGACCACCCGCCTTTTCTCTGTCAGTCGGCTTGGTGCGCAGAGAGCACTGGACCCGAACTGCAGCGGCCTGGGGAAGGGAAGGGGACTGGCACACAACCTAACAAGGGCGTAGAGCTGAAGCCCAGGCCTCTAATGCGGGGCTTGCTAGGAAGAAGAATATTGAGGAAAGAGACAGGCTTCTTCTGCCTTTGGTGCTGGGATTTGGATTTGGGGAGAGACTAAGAGACTGGTGAACTGGGGTGGGAGCCCAGGCCTCTTTTGGACTCCAGGGCTTGGAAGATTACTGTAGCCAGAAGCGAGTGAGGCCTTGGAGCAAGTGGATGGGGGCCTGAAAAGTCTATGTCGGAGCCAGGTGATAGACTCCAGCGAGAAGGCAGGCTGAGAGCCCCTGGAGAGCTAACCGATCTCCCCGGGAGTTCTGACCGTCAGACCCAACGGCTCCAGAGGAGTCTTGGGGGTATGGCACGAAGATTGCTCAGGCCTTAGTGGGGCTCCAATACAGTGAAAGTCCAATAGAGTGGAAGGTCTGAGGGGCTTGAACAGAGAGGAGGTTAGGAAAGCTGAAACACCAAGGGTTTGTGTGTGGGCTGTGAGAAGGGCCCTTGTGCTGTCAGGGTTAGACTTCGTTTCCTTTTGTTCATGAGACCCCCAATCTTAAGGAAAGCAAGAAAGCCGGGGTCTCCTGGTGTCCACGTTGGCTCTGTAGAGAGTAGAGGAGAAGAGATGAAAGGAGAGGAGAAGAGAGTCGAGGAGAAGGGATGAGAGAGGGGGGGGCTAGAGCAGAGCGGGTAAGAGTACTGAGAAAGACTGGGAAAAGGAGAGAAAACGGTCTGAGACCCAGGCGATGAAAGGAAAAAAGAGGAAGACCGGAGAGAGAAAGGAGACTAGTGAAGAGTAAGAAAGAAAGGAGGGACAGGAACGGAGTGAAAAATCTGCAAAAGAAAAAGGCCGAGTGGGCTCCGAGGCCCAGGCCAAGCCTAGCGCCGGCCCGAGAGTCGTGTTTCCAGGGTCTGCACTGTTGTCCCTGGTGTCAGAACCCAAGAGAGTCAAATCGCTTCCAGCCGGAACGTACAGCGCAGAGAAATATGTAAATCAGGGCTCTCAGCGCCCTGGAGAGTGTCGCAATTACTCCCCTTGAACAAGAAGCAACAAGCTCCCCGCCGGTGAGCTACAGAGGGTGGCTACGTCGCGGGGGAGGGAGCGGCTGCAGGAAAGGTGGGGGTGGGAACCTCACACTCTCACACCTTGTCCCCAGTGCCGAGGCCGGGGCTTCCCCCACCGCTCTCCGCTGCTCTCCCTTCCCCCTTCCTCCCCCTCCTTCTCCCTCCCTCCTCCTCCCCTCCAGCCTAGGTCCGGGTACTTAAAGCAGCGCGGGCGGGCTAAGGCGGGCGGGCGGCCCAGTCCGGTGGCGGCAGATGCGCCCAGCGGTGGCAGCCGCCGGCGGCGCGCAGGTGACCGGCCTGCAGCGCAGCCTGGTCAGGGAGTGCCCCGGGAGAGCTGGCAGGAGCTGGAGGCCGATCCGCCCCCGGCGCGCGCGCGTCTCGGCGCCAGGAGCCGTCCCGGGGCGTGTTGGCGAGCGCTGATATAGATATAAGGACATTTCTCTCCATGGCGTCACGTGACATAATTACCACCAGAATCAATCAAGATGAATTGCACGTCAGCGCCCGGTGGGGATTTTTGCTTAGTTGATCCTGGCCCAAGCCTCTTGTGCAATCGATGGCTCAGGTTGGAGGCGCGGGGAGCGGCCCGAGGCTTGCCGGCGTGCACGCCGCGCAGCCATGAACGACTTTGACGAGTGCGGCCCGAGCGCAGCCAGCATGTACCTGCCGGGCTGCGCCTACTACGTGGCCCCGTCGGACTTCGCCAGCAAGCCGTCGTTCCTCTCGCAGCCGTCCTCCTGCCAGATGACTTTCCCCTACTCGTCCAACCTGGCGCCGCACGTCCAGCCGGTGCGGGAGGTGGCCTTTCGCGACTACGGCCTGGAGCGCGCCAAGTGGCAGTACCGCGGCGGCGGCGGGGGCGGCGCGGGGGGCGGCGGCGGGGGCGGCCCCGGCGGGGGCGGCGGCGGCTCTGGGGGCTACGCTCCCTACTACGCCGCGGCGGCGGCGGCGGCGGCCGCGGCAGCAGCGGCCGAGGAAGCGGCCATGCAGCGGGATCTGCTCCCGCCCGGAGGCCGGCGGCCAGACGTGCTCTTCAAGGCTCCCGAACCGGTGTGTGGCGCTCCTGGGCCGCCTCACGGTCCCGCGGCTGCCGCCTCCAACTTCTACAGCGCGGTGGGTCGCAACGGCATCCTGCCCCAGGGCTTTGATCAGTTCTACGAGGCGGCTCCAGGACCCCCCTTTGCTAGCCCGCAGCCCCAGCCTGCGCCCGCGCCGCCGCAGCCCGAGGGCTCCGCTGACAAGGGCGACCCCAAGGCCGGGGCTGGTGGCGGCGGGGGTAGTCCCTGCGCCAAGGCAACTCCCGGCCCGGAGCCCAAAGGGGCGGCAGAAGGCGGCGGTGGCGAAGTCGAGGGTCCCCCGGGGGAGGCGGGGGCCGAGAAGAGCGGCAGCACAGGTAGGCGCGGGCGCCAGCCGAGGGGCTGTCCCGGGGCGGTGGCGGGGGAGGGGGGTGAGACGGGGACCTCCCTCTGCTTGCGCCGTTTTATGTGCTACTTTATAAGCATTCGAGGGGGTTTATACATCCTATAAGATTTCCCGGGTCGTTGTAAAGCGTGTTTATGATAGGAAACCAATTTAGGTGGGCTTAAGGTAGCCTTCGAAGAGGACATTAATCGCTGTAAAGAGCTTTCCCTTTATTTGGGTGGGGGTGGGTGGGTGGGTTGAGGATCTTAGAGGACAGAAGGACGTTTGGAGCCAGTTGGTGAGGGGGACCAGGGGGTCCTCTTGCCTTTCGGGGAGGGGATAGGTGATCTTCAAACTGGACTTAATCCAAGTGTCTGTCTGATGCTCAGCTCGGAGCTGAGCAGATGCCTCCAGTGGGCACCCTGCAGTCTCTTCCCTCGAGTTCCAGTTCAGAACCTGCCTTGCCCTCTTGTTTTCCTATCTCAGTGACAGGTTGTGTGTGTGTGTGTGTGTGTGTGTGTGTGTGTGTGTGTGTGTAGCGTGGATGTATGTGTGTAGTGTGTGTGTGTATATGTGTGTGTCCGGGCGTGAACACATGTCCACGCCCGCACTCTTCTGTGCCCGCCCATATATCATCCCCCACGATGCAGGCAGGGCCTTTCAGAGGCGGCAAGGGACGTCCCTAACCCGGCCAAGGCCTGGAGATAGCTCAGTGGCCAGAGTGGGTGGGGGCAAGCAGCAGCCTCTCTTACCCCTTGGTCTCTTTGCCTTTCAGTGGCCCCCCAGAGGTCCCGGAAAAAGCGCTGTCCCTACACCAAGTACCAGATCCGGGAACTGGAACGCGAGTTTTTCTTTAATGTATACATAAACAAAGAGAAAAGACTCCAACTCTCTCGGATGCTCAACCTCACTGACCGGCAAGTCAAAATCTGGTTCCAGAATCGCAGGATGAAAGAAAAGAAACTGAACAGAGACCGTCTGCAGTATTTCACTGGAAACCCCTTATTTTGAGAGCTCCAGGAAGCGCCCCCTCCCCAGAGCCCCACTCACCCACCCTTCTCCCCAACAGCCTGCCCTCCGCAGGCCCAATGTCCTTGGGTTCAATGACGCCTCTTCTCTGTGGAACTTCACGATTCCTTCTCGCGGTCAACTCGCGACCTCCCAGCGACCACTGCAGCCTGAGGACGAGGCCGGGGACTTGGCCGAGCGGATCCTAATAAGGGGAAAATGGTAAATGCAATCGTCCCTTTACAATTTTACCGCCAATAGGCTGTTGTTCCTCCTCTCCCCCTCGGTTTCCTGAGGGATGCGGCGGGATCTGTAGGGAGTTAGGCCTTGGGGCTAGAAGGAGTCGGTGTTTTGTTTTGAGTTTAAGAAATCCCTTTCTTCCCCCTTAGTGAACACAGATTATTTAAACTCTGGGAAATGTACCTTTGGGCATGAGTCACTGTCTTTTTGTGTGTGAATAAATGGTTTCTAGCAAAATGGAGGTTATAGCTTCGCTACACTGCATGGATTTTTACTGTTTGAAGAAGTTTAGTAGCTAATCAGGCTATGTTAGTGACCAGAACCCTTCCCCCATGCAAATGAAAGCCCACTGGAACATGTTTCAATATCTCTGTAAAAGGAGTTGTTCCTTCACACCCTCCCCGCCCCCCCCGCCCCGCTCTAGGTTACGCTGGCTTTAAAATCCCGTCAGTGTTACATTTTTGAATTGGTGAACAGATCCAGCAATGCTGGTTGCCTCCTCCCCGCCCCCCAGGCAATGTGGTTGAAGCAGTAGGACTCTAAGGAGCAAATTCTCACCCCACCCCCAACTCTAGTCTAATGAACTTGGGATTTTTTGGAAAGACAAAACAAAATTTGAAATTAATTAGAAGATCCAAATTATCTCTTAACAAGGTCAAGGAGCCAGAGTCCCTTAAAATAAAAAGAGGAAAACCCTGTGTGTGTGTGTGTGTGTGTGTGTGGTTTTTTTTTTTTTTAAAGGGAGTTAATAGGTACAGGGGAACTTGGGGCCCTTCTGCAATCTTAGTGAGTGTGAAACAAGGAATGTACCCCTCCACCCCCGGACTAAGGCCAGGGGCTGCTCAACTGCTTCTCACCACATTTATCGCTTTAAGTTAAAGAATGTGGTGAGGGTTGCACTGCACTTTATGTCACAGGACCAAGCCAGGCTGTTTACAAAACCTTGAACTGTCTAGACAACACCATAAAAACCAAAGTTCTAAACAGCTTAATTGGGTTATATTATGCACCTTCTGGTGGGCCCAAAAGAGATTTCCGCAGTGTGCAATAAACCAGAGAAGTGAGAAAAGCTTCTTTTTCCCTGACATGAGTGAAGTGGGTCTTAGGACTCTTAACCACTCAGAAACCCAAAGTCAAAAAATAAATAAATAAATAAACCCAGAGGATGCACAGCACCCCACGCCTCACTCAAGGATGTATGCGTTTTGAAATATAATTTTTTTTAATTGCTGAAGCTTTGGGGGGTAAAGAAAAACATAGTGCATAAGTGTATGCCTTTGAACTTCCAAAATGTCAAGGTCATCACCTTTAACCTCTCTGAATAATTAGGCGCCTTAAAGTTCTTCTGTGATTTCCAACCACCACCCACTCACATAACACATGCTCACACATCCAGACCCATGCACACATTTATGGCCATACAGAATCATACTGGGGGTTCACCATAAATCTAAGAAAATTCCTGATTTCAGGATCAACAAACTTAATTTCCCTCCAAACATTCGAGTAATTCAACGACAATTGTCTTCTTAGGAAAAAATAAAACATTTGTTAGATCAAAATACCTATTAACTATTAGTAGAGCTAGGGTTTATTGAGAATTTGGGGGACTCTTAGAGTTTCTCTTTGCTATGACAAACAAGAGCAGTTTTTTAAAAAGGCATTTGACAGAGTAAGTTCTGATCACACCACCACTAGCACTTGAGAGCAATTTGCCACCTTGTTAAATAAACTGTGGTACTTTCTAAGGAGTAGAACAAAATGAAATATATTTATATTGTTTTTAATAAATTTCTCAATCTTTGGTAACTGGTGCAATAGAGACAATCAAATTATTTCGCTCAGAAAGGGATTATTTTGTTTAGAATTTGGGCACTGGTTTACATGTAAATGCCCTAATAGTATGATCTTCCTGGGAGATTAAAACTGGTTGGTTGGTTCTTTCTCTCTTCATATTTCTTATTTTAACTGCGCCTAAATGAGCAAGCTGTGTGTCAGCACACTCCAGGCGAACGCGAGAAATACTATTTTCCGTTTGCAAGCACCTCTACAGCCACACGAGGGCGCGCTCACGTTCCAGAAACCTTATTTGCCAAGAGGCTGCGGTACCTTATTTTTTCCAATACTAGATTCTAATAAGGGATCTTGGCTCACCCGTTAGAAACAGCCAGCAGTTAAGGTGTTAGCTGTGCCCTTGTTCTAAGCAGCCATGATCGTGAGAAGTTGTGGAGAGTCAGAAAAAGAGGCAGTCTTCTGAAACAGGGGATCCCCTAATTATTGTCTCCTTAAAGATAAAGCCACTGCAAAAAATACCTTAGTATATAATCTGATGGTGTTGAGAAGATATTTTTAAAAGACGAATGTCTGTGGTTTGAAATACGTCATAGCTACTGCGAGTTAATTAAATTAGGGGAATGTCTATTTTCGTGTTGGTTTGAGTGTGGAGAGTAATGACAAATGTAAGGTCCCTCCCATCTCCCCCAACCGCACGCGCCTTGTGAGAGTTCATATGGCTGGGGTGATTAAAAGGCTTTTGTTTTAAACAGATTAGGGCGTTGGCAACTTAGCTGAGTGTGTACTTAGAAAAAAAAAAAAAATCCATGAGGACCGAGGGCGTCGTTCTGGGCTGAAGATTCCAGTCCATGCATGGCTTGGTGCTACTCTTGGCTACCTCAGAAACAGAGAGGGCTAGAAGCTGGGGTGCGGGTGCTGGAGTGGATTGATGTTATTACTGGAGATGGTGGACTCTCTGTGAGGACGTTTGGATTTCAAAGTGTTGTGAATGGAAATGCGTTTGGAGTAACCTGGCATTGTACTTGACAGGCCACCTTTCCTAGTTGCCCGCTGACCTTGAGGTGTGCAGTTTGCTTTGGGCACTAGCTCTTACAAACAGTAAAAATCCTACTGCAAAGCCCCATGCTTTGGGAAATGTCTATGTCCCCTCCACTTGCATCCTTGTCCGCGGTCCAAAAGTGTGAAGACAGGGCTCCCAGACGTGGGCGGCTCAAAGGGAGAATGGCAGATCCCTTTCACCCCCTAAATTCCTTGAGAAGATCTTGAAGTCCCCGGAATTTGCACTGACCTCTGTCTCCCTACTTCCTTTCTCCGGACCTCGGGCTCTAGGGCCCGCCTGTCCGCTAGTTTTCCCGGCCTCCGGGAACTGGCTTTGGTTTGCGGGAGGCTGGGGAGCCATGACTCCCCGGCTAGGCGCCAACGAGAAGCGTGGGTGTTCCCCGCGCGGATACCCGGCTCCGCCTGTGTTGCTGCGGGTCTGAGTTAGCTCTTGCAAAGCGATCTTTCTTAGGGCCTAACCCGGGTTTCAGTCTACGTGGGGTGAGACCTCCTTCCTCAAATGTCGTTGTGTTCTTTGTAGGCGGCCCCATCGACCGCGCATCTGGATGTGCGGGGGCCCCTTGGCCTTGGCTGGCAGCCGCTGCAGGCGGACCAGGGCTGCTGAGCTGCAGCCTTGTCTTTCCTCCCGGCAACGCCCGCCCAGCGTGTGCCTGATACGGGCCAGGGGATGGGAACAGGAACTTAGTGGGCTGAAAAATCTGCCCCTCTTGAGCCTGCCAGAGTGTGTGGGGCTCCTTGACGGCGGCCACCGATCCTGAGGTTCCAAGTTCTCAGATTGTGAAGTAGCAAATAATGTGCCATGTAGAAGTCTTTTGTGTCTGTTTAGAAAGAGGCTCGGCCCTTCTCGATCCCTTTCACTCTCCGTAGACCCCCTTACAGAACCGGTGCAAGTCTCCCAGTTGACCTTTCTATTTCTTTTTCCCTTGGAGCGATGATGCACAGTGCAACCCAGAGGGGCGCCCTGGGGAGGCAGCTTTTCATTTGTCTCCATCCATCCGCTCTGCAAACAGAGACAGAATCCAGGATCCAGCTCATAGCTCTAATTCAGGGAGACTATGGGAGCCCATAGGTCCTCTTAGGCTCAAAGCCTCCATCCACCCTTCCGAAGAGGACAAGAGAATGCAGATGCAAGCCACTTTCTTGTTATTGTTATTATATCATTATTACAAATGCTAGTTTCCTGCTAAGGCGACCTTTTCAATTTTCCCTGGAAAGAACCCTGCATTTTGGTACAAATATGAATATCCATCTCTTTACGATGCAATATTAACTTATTATTAATACTAACTGATCTAAATGATTTAAATATGATTTTTAAAAACACCAGCCACTGCATTAAACATTAAGCAAAATAAAAGTTGGCCTTCAAAGCTACTGTCTTTTCCTTCCGTTTGCTTTGTGTAGGCGCTAAGGTCTTACGGTACCTTTTCTGTCCTCCCTTGTAGGATTTTCATTTTGCTCGAGTTTTTAAATTCTATAAATCTAACATATTGACAATTTTGGCCCCGAGGATTCAGTCTGAAGGCAGAAATTCGAAGGAGAAAAAAAATAGAATTTTGAGAATAAATTCCGTTTTTAAATTGCCATACACATTTTTTTCTGCCTTTGCGTGAAAAATCTATTTAAATCCTAATTCAATACGAGGTGACTTTGAGTTTGAAGCGATAGAGCACTGAAACAGAAAGACCCACACACAGAGAAGGCAGAGCTGCCTCTCCAACTTCACTGAAGACTTACCAGCTCAGTAAGGAATTGCTTGTTTTTAGACTGGGTGTTTTCTCCATGTATAAATAAAGATTATGAAAGGGCATTTGATGGGCATAAAATTCCTGATTAGATTGAACAGCCCTTCCTTGCTTGGGATTAGGAAAATTGGACAGTCGAATTCTGGGCAGCTCTCCTGGCCAAGATACAAAGCAACACAATGCTACAGCACCAAGCTGGCGTCAGGGCGACTGCAGAGAACAGTGCAAAACAGTGCAGCGGGCACTTTGTCCAGCCCTGGGCACATTTAGCTGTAACTCAGAATTTGATCGCCACAACGTGAAAAGGGAAAATTTGAGGTGCTAATCAGTGGCTGTTAGGTTTTGATCCGGATCTTAGCAACATGGAGGTAAAAGTTGTTGAGGGTTTTTCCCCCCTCCTTTGCTTTACTTAACACCTCATACCCCCTCCCCAGCTTAAAAATAGCCACCCCTGTGGCAGGCAAGGTAATGTTTAAGTCTGCAGCTTCGCCACCGGGGTGCAGCAGCCAGAGCAGTGAGAGGCGCCAGGCTTTTAACCTGACAATGATGTTGTATTTGAACAGCTGCATAAAGGTTTAAAAGGTCTGTCTCATTGCCACCGTGGAGTTTTTTTTAAAAGGGGTTATTGTTTGGGCGAGGGCAACCGAGAGGGGACTAGCCAATCGGTCCCAAGGCCGAAAATAACATTCAGTGCCTGTTTTCACCAGGTCAAGAGAAATTCCTTTAGGGAAAGGGGGGAGACAAAGGACTTTTGGGGGGAAGTGAAATGTTTTTGTGAAGGACCTCTAGGTCCCCCCTCAGAACGCTGGGGAGCCTTAAGGAGCATCGAACCTCCCCCCAAGAAATGTTCTGTTGAGGCGGAAACCAGATTTATCCACAAGTTCAGTCTCTGGGCCTGAAATCCAAGGCCAGCCCATTCCCGGGTGAGTGTGGAAGAGAACAACATAGTTGTCTCTTCGGACTGAGAACTCGTTCACGGTCACAGATTCCGGGTCCGTTTTACTTTCTTGAACCGCCGGGGAAAGGACCCAGAAGGCCGAAAGACAGATCCCCCACACAGGCAGGGGCCCTGGTCCAGGGCAAGTCTTTGGAAATCAAGGTTAAAGCTCCCTGCTGCTGTCCTAAGGCCCTGGCTTCCGCAGGGCGGCTTGCCGCCTGCAACTAGAGGAGGGAGGAAGTTGTTCAAGTTTCTCATAAAACTCTGAGTTTCCATGGTGGTGGTGGCAGCGGTTGCTCTTTAATGATCTGGACCACAACCCCAGACCATATCCTCTTTATAAAACTTTCCCTCACCAGAGGAAACGGAAGACTAAGATTCTCCCATCTCATTCTCCCTCTTGCCCAAGCAAAACCTTGTCAAAGAATTTTAGGGATTGTCCAAAACTATAAAATTTAGCTTGTGACAAAAGTATAGCTTTTAATATTTGACGATTTGTGTTAAAACAAAAATTGACCTTCTTGGTTAGTAACGAAGGGAAGAAAATCAATAGTATAATTTTCAATAATTCATAAAGTGAACGCCATTATGCTAAATCTTAACTATTAATCTTTTCCTTTACAAAGTCTCGATTGATTTGTTAATAAAATACCTTCCCGTTTGTGGCAACAGCGGGTATAACTCTTTAAAAACCTTCAGAAGCAAGAAAATTACCAAGTAGCCCAAGAATGTAGATGAGAATTTTATTGATCGCCTTGATTCTTCTTAATATGTATTAATAAATTCCACAACCTTTTGTACCTTGCACTTGTCAGAAACCAATGCTTTTACAAAATCCATAAAAGGAAAACGTATTTTTCTTTGCAGAAGACTAAAATGACACCTTCGCTTTGCTCTCTCTTTGCTCTGGCCCGGTCTCCTAAAACTTGTGGAGTCCGAGGATCAGAGTTTTCTCCCTTTCTTTGAAAAAAATATTTTCTTTTACCCTTCCTTCCTCTCTGCCCTGTGTTATCAGGGAAAGGAAATCTTGGTTTCCCTGTCTGTGAGAGGAACGCTTTCACGGACAGGGAATGGCTGGCAAAGGATTATCTCCGAGCTGGAAGCTCCCAGCAGCCGGCCCCTCAAAGGTCAGGGTGTGGTTACTCTGAGAATCTAGACTCTAGGAGCTCGTGGGTGCTGAGGGACCCGGAGTCCTGAATGAAGAATGAAGGAGAGGGCAACTACTGGCTGGAACCATCTGGATCTACCCAGCTGCGTGGCCTTTCGACCTTCGCGGCCTTTTTCGCTAGTGCTTACCGCGACACCTTGGTTGTATCTTTGCAGTGGAGAGTTTTTTTTTGTTTGTTTGTTTGTTTTTTGTCCCCCCCCCTTTGGACCCCTAGGGAAGGATGTTTCAGAACCAGAGGAATCGGACTCACCTTCCCAGCTGCCCAGTACTAAATTAACCAGCCCGCGCCCCTACCCCTTGCTCGGAACCGGCCCTCTTGGGCGCATTCTGCTTGGGTGTGTGCAGGGAAAACGCTTCTGTGAGCAGGCGTCACCACAGTCTGACTTCCCTCAGTGCGCGTGTCCTCCTGGAGACCCCTCGGATCAAGCCTTTCCTTCCGCCGGCGGAGCCCGGTGAGCGGGTGGGGGACTCGAGTGGGGCAGGCAGGCCGGCCAAACAAGCCTCGGGAGACCGGCTGGCTGGCCAGCAGCAGAGCTCTGGGCCGGTCGTTTCCAGCGCGCACTATCACAGGCGCTTAGTAGATGTCGCTGTTGTCCGTGCTTACGCCGCCGGCCGGCCGGGCTCTGGAACACGTGACCTACAAGGAGGCTGCGGCTCAAGGCCATTTTCAAATCTCATTGGCTTGGTTGTCATGTGGTCGGCAGAGGCATCCACAATTACACCGGGAATGTTTTCCTAGAGATGTCAGCCTACAAAGGACACAATCTCTCTTCTTCAAATTCCTCCCCAAAATGTCCTTTCCCAACAGCTCTCCTGCTGCTAATACTTTTTTAGTAGATTCCTTGATCAGTGCCTGCAGGAGTGACAGTTTTTATTCGAGCAGCGCCAGCATGTACATGCCACCACCTAGCGCAGACATGGGGACCTATGGAATGCAAACCTGTGGACTGCTCCCGTCTCTGGCCAAAAGAGAAGTGAACCACCAAAATATGGGTATGAATGTGCATCCTTATATACCTCAAGTAGACAGTTGGACAGACCCGAACAGATCTTGTCGAATAGAGCAACCTGTTACACAGCAAGTCCCCACTTGCTCATTCACCGCCAACATTAAAGAAGAATCCAATTGCTGCATGTATTCTGATAAACGCAACAAACTCATTTCTGCCGAGGTCCCTTCGTACCAGAGGCTGGTTCCCGAGTCCTGTCCCGTTGAGAACCCCGAGGTTCCTGTCCCCGGATATTTTAGACTGAGTCAGACCTACGCCACCGGGAAAACCCAAGAGTACAATAACAGCCCCGAAGGCAGCTCCACTGTCATGCTCCAGCTCAACCCTCGTGGCGCGGCCAAGCCGCAGCTCTCGGCTGCCCAGCTGCAGATGGAAAAGAAGATGAACGAAACCGCGAGCGGCCAGGAGCCCACCAAAGTCTCCCAAGTGGAAAGCCCTGAGGCCAAAGGCGGCCTTCCAGAAGAGAGGAGCTGCCTGGCTGAGGTCTCCGTGTCCAGTCCTGAAGTGCAGGAGAAGGAAAGCAAAGGTCGGTATGAACAGAGTTGCCACCCCAATGGGGCGCGCAGTTCGGTAAATCCTCGGAAAGGGAGAGCTGGGGTACCCAAAGCGGAGCCCAGACAGCGGAGCCCAGCGCCCAACTCGGCAGGTGCTGCTCCACCCGGCTTTTAGAGGGGAGATATCAGCCTTGAGATGGTCTCTGATTCTCTCCCGCTGCTCTGGCCCTCCGGGCCAGACCTGGCCCCACGCTGCTGATGGCGCCTGGGCAGAGGAAAGGCTTGCCGGGTTTATCTGTCCTGAGCCAGACCCGAAATGCAACAAAAGAGCAAAAAGGAGACCAGCGGCTTGTAAGCAGGGCTCCAGTGGCCCCTATTCTTTGGCTCAGATTTGCAACCCTAGTTTTGCCTTGCGCCCAGGGATCATTTTAAGGTGGCCCAAGACATCGTGTTTGTGTTCAAGGGTTTACACCCCGCATCCTGCGATCTAAGAGGGGAAGGAAATGGTGTGGCCGCTTGGTGCTTGGCTGGGGAAGCAGAGGACTTCTTGCCTTTGCTGGACTGGTAACCTTGGCTTTGTCTGGGGAGAGTGCCGCAGGCTTTGCAACCTTATACAAAGAGGGCAAAAGCGGAAGAGGGGGAGAGAGGATCTGCATTGCCCACTTAGGGCCTCAGGGACAAGGCAAAGAACCAGGGTTATGGGTTTCTAAAAAGGAATCTTGCCCACCCCCATCCCTGCAGTCTGTCCCTCAGTGTCTATTGGTGGGCCACAGAGTTACATTTCTGGGGGAATGCTTTTTGTGTGAGGCAAAGAAACATTTTAAAATTGAGGGAATTCTGGGGTTCTGCAACAATGTCCAGGCAGGGTGGGGAAGGTATTCTTGTTTGTTTATCTCTTGAAATAGTCTGGCTCCCTATAAACCTGGCTGTGGAACTGTCTGTCTGCCCAGGAGAGGTGGGTGAGACCCGCCGGCTTGGGGCCTTGCAGCAGGGAGACTGGAAAGCTGTTTAAGCTGTGACTTCTATTCCTATCCTGTCATGGGCTGACCACTTAGAGTGTTGCTGGGGAAATTCTGTAAACTTTACAATTATAATAATGTTTTGTGCAAGCCAGAAAGTTGTGTGGAGAGAGAGAGAGAGAGAGAGAGAGAGAGAGAGAGAGAGAGAGAGAGAGAGAGAGAGAGAGAAAACCAACCCCTGGTACAGAATTATCTTTCCATTGTATTACTAAGTATTTAGTTCTAATTTGGTATTAATTTAAAATCTCTTTCATGTCCCGCCTTTGTGAGTAATGTTTAATACCAGCATTGTCCAAAGCAGCCTGCCTGCCTCCCAGCAGGGTCATGGCCAAGGGTATATTTGAATGGACTGAGAGAAAAAAAAAATCTTGATTTTTTTTCTTCTCCCTTTAATTTTGTTAGAGGAAATCAAGTCTGATACTCCAACCAGCAATTGGCTCACTGCAAAGAGTGGCAGGAAGAAGAGGTGCCCTTACACTAAGCACCAAACGCTGGAATTAGAAAAAGAGTTCTTGTTCAATATGTACCTCACCCGCGAGCGCCGCCTAGAGATCAGTAAGAGCGTTAACCTCACCGACAGGCAGGTCAAGATTTGGTTTCAAAACCGCCGAATGAAACTCAAGAAGATGAGCCGAGAGAATCGAATCCGAGAACTGACCGCCAACCTCACCTTTTCTTAGGTCTGAGGCCCATGTGAGGCCAGGATCCGAGAGGGGGCACCGTGTTCCAGGCCCGAGTGCTGGAGGACTAGGAAGGTGGAAACAAAACCTTCATTGCTCTTTGTTTTGTTTTGTTTTGTTTTGTTCTGTTCTGTTCTGTTTTCCTGCTAGAATGTGACTTTGGGGTCATTCTGTTCGTGCTGCAAGTGATCTGTATTCCTTATAAGTATATATATATATACATATATATATTAAAAAACTTAGCACGTGTAATTTATTTTTTCATCGTAATGCAGGGTAACTATTACTGCGCATTTTCATTTGGATCTTAACTTATTGGAACTGTAGAACATCTATCCAACCATCCACCCATCTATCCAACAAACAATGTGACTTTCCCACATTTTTCCTCACATGAAAGTTCTCTGTGTGTGGTTAGCCCATGAACTCATGTCAGTTTGAAAACCATCCAGTACTTTAAAAATTATATATATATATATATATATATATATATATATATATATATATTTCAAACGAATAAGAAACCCACAAGCTTGGGGGGAGGGGGACTTTAAAAAGCACATTACAATGTATCTTTTCACAAATGAACTTAGCAATTGTCCTTGGAGAAATGGAGTATTGATGACTTATGCCTTGTAGCCTTTCCCTTGTGGTGCATCTGTGGTTTGGTAGAAGTACAACAGCAACCTGTGCTTTCTGTGCATGTTCTGATCGCATGTATAATGCAATAAACTCTGGAAATGAGTTTGTTCCCTCTGCTTTCTGAAATGGAAATACATTATGGTGGAGAGGAGAGCCTTTGGGAAGGGTCTTTTCTGACTAAATTGCCTGTTTGGGGCAGTTGGGTAAGGAGTGGGAGTCTTCATAACTGGAAAGAGTGTCCTGTGTGCCCCCCAATCCTGCTAATACAATTGCACCTCAGTGGAACGAGCTTCCCCCTAGCCTGAGCCTGCTAAGTAAGCCTGGGCTGGTTTTTACTTTCAGTTCCCCATTTGTGTGTTTTCTTCTCTTTGGTTTTTGGTCATGTTGTTTTTAATGCTTTCAGTGAGCTCTTGGTGACTTCTGGCTGGGGAGTGCGCTATCAGGGGCTAGGTTGGAACTAGTAATGCCCAGCTAGAACCTGCCTGGCCCCCATTACAGGAACCAACGACAGCTTAGCATGGATCCAATTGTGCTCCCCCCCCTTTCTCATTCCTACCCATCCCAAGCTCAAGACAATCCGGGCCAGTGAAGCCAAGGTTGGGTGAGTCCTCTCAGCTTACTTTACCTTGGTTCCTTTCTGAAAGGGATTTATGTTTAGCCATTACTTTTCAGTGGCCCACATGAATTTTTTAAGGAAGAAAAAAATGGAAATATACTCCCCAGTCAAATCTCTCTCACTATTATTACAAAATGCTCCTTGCAGCCACTGTAGCGGAACAGTCAGGTGACTGAAAAAGGATTTGCAAGTGAACATGACTGCCCAACAAGTCCAATGGTCCTTTTACATACATAGATTGGAAAATTCAAGCCAGCTTCTGCGGAATCCGCACCACTGAGCCCAGATCCATCTAGTCCTGCCAGGGAAAGGGGAAGAGGTTCTTATGGGAAGAGGTGACCGAGTTCGTTGCCCCAGGTCCGGCCTATGGTTTTCAACCCATCTTCAAAGACCCATCATAAAACAGGTTTGTTTTTCTTTTTTCCTTTCTTTCTTTCTTTTTTTTTTAAACACAGGCCCTTTCCCTCCCAAAGAACAACCCACATAATCTCTCCGAACTTCGGAGCCCCCCATTCAAACAGTCTTTGGGATGCTCGGTGTTTATTGTTTTAAACTTCCTTCCCCAAACCCCAAATCCTCTCAAGTTTCAAGACAGATCCCTTTGGGGGCTTGTTTCCTGTGTCTGGGAGAGAGAGGTGTCTGATTCAATACTAGCTTGAAAGGACTGGAATAAATTTGCCCCTGATTTACCTTGGATGGGCAAAATCAGTAGGGTTATATTAACCTGTACATTTCTCCCAGCGATGTGGGGAGCGCCATTAGTTTCTGGTAGAGGGAAACCTGTGCTACAGGAAAAGGGCAGGCCCCCTGAAACAAAATCAGTAAGCCATTCGCAAAGGCAATCAATCAGGCCCTAAGTAGCCATTTACCCCCTTTCTTTCCGGGGCTGGAGGTGGGCTGGGAGCCCTCCAAGGGTGCTCTGGGCAACTTGTAGAGCTAGGAATATGCCCTCTCAATCGCCGCCGGCGGCTTTTGTCTCGGCTCCCAGCCGGGCTTTGTACCATGGATTTGGGAGTGACAATGGGCATTTCTCTCAGATTCAAGGCTGCCTGGCCTTACCTCTAAAGGCAAGGGGGGAAAATTGGGAAGGGAGTGGCCCAATGACCTGTCCTTCCGTCTGGGTTTTGAAGACACCTTCAGAATCCGTTTGCAGGCCTCTCAGTGTGAAAGGCACGCAGCGGCCCTGCCCACAGGGATGCGGTTCCTGCCGGCCTCACCCAGGCAGGGCTAATTTGGCCAGTGAGAGCTGACCTCGCTTGCATTCGAGTTTTTCCCTCTGAGGCATGTTTTTCTTCCAGGGCCATTCCAGAAGGCCGGAAAATGATAAGGCGCCATGTGGGATTCCAATGTTCACCGCCCATCCGAGGGCAGAGAGAAGCCCCTCGGAAGCCATCCCTGCAGAGGCTGCACTGAGCTAGCTGGTCCAGGCCCGGGAGTCCGGTTGCCCCAGCTCACCCCTTGGGCCTCGAACATGTGCCTAACCTCACTTCGAGGGTGTATGCGTGGCTGCCTGGGGAGTGTGTGAGTGTGGTAGAGGGAGGGGCCCTTCGAGCTGCTCCATCCGTCCGTTTTATTAGGGACACATTAATCTATAATCAAATACACCTCATAAAATTTTTATTGAAAGGCATAATATCATTACAGAGGTCTTCCACCTGTTTTAAACAACACGACAAGCTGTGAGAGAGCGTGTGTGGGTACGTGTGGGGAGGGGTGGGTTTAGGTAAGAATAGAGGCTTAGGCAGAACAATCCCCCTTGGGCGCCAGGGGGCCGCCCTTAAAGGCCTGCCTGCCTGGGGTAGCACCGGGCCGGCAGCCTCGGGCTGCTCCGGGCTCCGGGTTAGCGCCTAGGTGTGCCGCAGAAGCCCGATCCAGGGCCCAGAGCCCAGGAGTCAGGGAGCCAGGGCCGGGGTGGAGATCGCAGGACCCAGAGCAGCAAGAAGAGATGAACAAATAGTCCCCAGCGCCTCCTGCGGCCGCAGTTAGGCCTGTGGTCGCCGCCGCCACCACCCGGGCGGGCGGGCTGGGCCGGGCCAGGCCGGGCTGGCGCGTGGACCCGGGCCCGACAGCTCTAATTGCAGCGCTCCTGTTGATGATGATTTTTTTTTTTTTTTTAAATCACAGCAGCCCCCAGTTTAGCGGACTGATTTACTCCGGGTATTGGTAAATATGATCACGTGGGCCGCGCGACCAATGGTGGTGGCTGCAGCCTGCGAACTAGTCGGCGGCTCGGGCGCCGGCGAAGAGCGGCTCGGCGGCGGGCAGTGTAACCTTGGGTGGGAGCGCGCGGCGCCTCAACATGTCGTCCAGTGGCACCCTCAGCAACTACTACGTGGACTCGCTCATAGGCCATGAGGGCGACGAGGTGTTCGCCGCGCGCTTCGGGCCACCAGGGCCGGGGACACAGGGCCGGCCCGCAGGTGTGGCCGATGGCCCGACCGCCGCCGCCGAGTTCGCCTCGTGTAGTTTTGCCCCCAAATCGACCGTGTTCTCCGCCTCGTGGTCCGCGGTGGCCGCCCAGCCCCCGGCGGCGGCGACGATGAGCGGCCTGTACCACCCGTACGTGTCCCCGCCACCCCTGGCCACCGCCGAGCCGGGCCGCTACGTGCGCTCCTGGATGGAGCCCCTGCCCAGCTTCCCCGGAGGCTCGGGGGGTGGCGGTGGCACTGGTGGTGGCGGTGGCGGAGGCCCGGGTCCCGTTCCCAGCCCCGGCGGTCCAGCCAACGGGCGCCACTACGGGATTAAGCCTGAGACCGGAGCGGCCCCGGCCTCCGCCGCAGCCTCCACCTCCTCCTCCACCTCCACGTCCTCCTCCTCCAAACGGACTGAGTGCTCCGCCGTCCGCGAGTCCCAGGGGAGCGGCGGCCCAGAATTCCCGTGCAACTCGTTCCTGCGGGACAAGGCGGCAGCGGGAGGGAACGGGCCCGGGGTGGGGATCGGGGCCGGGCCTGGGGCGGGAGGCTCGTCCGAGCCCTCAGCTTGCAGCGATCACCCGAGCCCGGGCTGCCCGCTGAAGGAGGAGGAGAAGCAGCCGCCGCAGCCGCCGCAGCAGCAACTTGACCCAAGTAAGTGCAAAAGAAATTGCCCCCTGATTTATTGCTGAAACCTGTAAGGCTCGAATGTGCAAAACTGATAGTTTTACTAACCTATAAAAACGTCTAGACGCCTACCCAAGCCTAGGCGAGCAACACGCATCCATAAAAAAGCTTCCCATAACCACCTACCTTGGGCGCGCGGTTTGTACGGTAAACAGAGCGCGGGCATTAAGGCTTTTTATGATAATTCCCCCAAGTTGTGAAAAGCGTCCATCCTTGGTGAAATTAATTTAACGACCTCTCTTCTCCACCCTGTCGTCTCTCCCTGCCTCCCCTCCGCCCCTCGCTCCCTGTCTGCAAACCCCCCCTCTTACTAGACAACCCCGCAGCGAACTGGATCCACGCTCGTTCCACCCGGAAAAAGCGCTGTCCCTACACCAAATACCAGACGCTAGAACTGGAGAAGGAATTCCTCTTCAACATGTACCTCACCCGGGACCGGCGCTACGAGGTGGCCAGGATTCTGAACCTTACAGAGAGACAGGTCAAAATCTGGTTCCAGAACCGTAGGATGAAAATGAAAAAGTTGAGCAAGGAGAAATGCCCCAAAGGAGACTGACCCAGCCGGCCCCGGCCTGAAGTGCTCAGAGGCAGCCGGTTTTGGGTTTTTGTTAATTTTCCCCCCCTCTGTGGGTGCTTGATTCAGAAACTCTCCAGCAACTCGGACTTTTTTCTTCTTTTTTAGGTAGAAGTGACTGTGTGGTTGGTCTCTGTGAGTTATTTGAGGGACACTGTATTTGCTCGCATATGTACTGGAGAAACCAAGTGGCTTTGGAGTTTTGTCTTATTCCGCCCCCTCCCTTTCCTACTCTGTTGGTTCCTTAGGAAATGATATATTTTGTAAGTGCACGCAGGCTTAATGAAGCCCTCTCCTGTGTAAATGTCCCTCGTGTTTCTGAAAAGTGCTGTAGTTTAGTCTCACCCTATCCAGCTTCCCAAACAGGGCCAACTGTCCAATTCGAGAATCTGAAGGCAGAGGGAGATTGTGGACACCCCCACTGCTCTCTCAGCCCAACCCCAAACCAGCTGCTCACCGCAGGAAAGCCCCTTTCCTCAGGGAACCCGTGGGCTGACTTCCACTGAGGCCTACCGAGAAAGCCTGGGCCCTGGGGCGCTGCTGCGGGGTGCGGGGAAAGCTTAGCCTTCCAAGCCTAGGAAGAGCTGCTCTCTCCGGGAGGTCTGGGCTCCCTTGGGCAGCCTGGGGTGATGGCCCTTCATGTTCCTGCCTGAGGACCAGTTGTAAATGTTACCGCTTCCAACAAATAAATGCTGATCTGAGCAAATGGAGCCCAGCCACTGGCCCTGAACATTGTGTGACTGCTCTCTGTGTCTTTGCAAAATAACATGACCATCAGACTACCCCATCCCCGAGAAGGGGCGCATTGCTAAAGGTTGGAGGCCCTAGCACCTGGAGGGTCTCTGAAGTACCTTGGAGTTTCCTTTTGTGTACACACACCTGGCCGAAGAGAACACTTTTGGAAGATGTCTTGGCGCTTCCCCTATCCTGTTGCCAGGGCCACAATGAACTCCCTGGCCTTAGGCCCTGAATGAGTCTCCACTGGAACCAGGAACCAGGCACCCTTTTGCTAAGGCACCACCCGGCTGGCCTACTTCTCTATCCTGGAGACCCAGACGCCAATCCCCATCTCCAAACAAGGGAAAGGACAGGTCTGCTCGGGAGTAACTCCCCCAGGCCGGCCAGGCTGGCTGGCTCCTGGAGGTCCCAGCCGGTTAAGCAGTGAGCATCTGCCCCTCCCCGCTACAGCCCCAAAGTGACCTTAGGGATCCAAATGGTCAAGACACTGCCCCCTCTCCATAGTCTCATCCTGCCACCCCCTTCCCTCCACCCAGCCTTTATGTATGTTTAGGCCCCAGCTTGGCCCTCTGAGGCCGCCTTGAGAGGCTAAAATGAAGGTCATTGTGAGGGTTCAGGCGAATCACTGGCGTTGCAAGCCCTAGAGGAGGCCACGGCGCCGGGCAGCCTGGGTTGGGCGGAAGGCGGGGGCGATGGCAGAGATCTTGGGGATCCTGATGAAAGAGGGGGGACTCCAAGGAAAAGAAGATGGGGGCTGGGAGGGAAAGCCAAGGCCCAGATCCGGCTGAAGGTGCTGCATTCCCCCGCCCCTAAGGCCAGGCGGATACCTACAGCTCTTTGAAAACAGGAAGAGCCAAGGTGTCATAAAGCCATTGAGCCGGCGAGACGTCTGGAGGTAATGAGTTTACGACAGGCCAGGCGCTTCGCTTTGAAACCATCTCATTTTGATGTTTGTGGGAGGAAAGGAAAAATGCAGACAAAACTGGGTCTTAAAATCTGGACAATAAAATATAAACAAGACTTGGACCAAGAAGTCAGGGACTAGGAAGCCAGCCCCCCCACCCCGTGAGGTGTGAGCATTCAGGGAAAAAAAATGAGAGGTGATATATTTCTGATTTTTCTTTTTAAATGGGGCGAACGTTAGAGGTAGCCTATGGCCGGTGGCTCTTCGATATTTTGACTGTGGCCATGATCTATCTCGTTCTTTTAAGAAGAAAAATAAGGCAATAATGATACTGCCCCTCTATTACTTGACCTATTGAGATGGTGAATGAGGCCAGTGATCTTGGGCCATTTACTCAAGCAAGCATCTCCTCGGATTATGTCTTGTGGGGAAAGAGGGTGTTACATCTTCACTGGCACTCCACTCCAAATTCCCCGCAAAAATATGGACATTTGTTCACTTATTACAGATATAGTCATTACAGCTAAATTGGCCAAAAATATTTTTGAAAATAAGAGACAGAGATTAATTTAGCGAGAAACACCGATTTGGGAATATTTCCTTTTTAAAAAAGTCAAATAGATCGTTTATCCAATTTGCTTAGTATGTCGCTTATACAATATTAAAATTCTCACTCACTGTCTGGAGAAATTTGAATAAACATAAGCCCAATAGGGATTTTCCAGACAGGCACACAGGATGCTGCAAAAAGATTATTTTAATTTGGCTTTCATCCGCCCCAAATTATCCAGTTTAATGAACTCAAAACATTAAGATTAGAAAGTTAAATTAAGAAATATACATCACTTAATGTTGAGAGTGATATCCTTTAAGAAAAACAACATTTGGCTTCTAGAAAAAAATTTAGCTGTCAAATTGCCTGGGTTCTTTGGGGAAAAAAGTCTCATCAATTAATATTTATTTAAGTTTTGACTTGTGCTAAACACAACCTGTTCTATAATTGTGTGTAAAAAGCACAGCTAGGAGATAACAAAATTGGGGACTTGTGGTGTCTGGCAAAGAACTGACTGGAAGCTTTTGGCAAACACACCACTTACAAGTTCTTGTGAGCCCAAATGAGAATTTCCTCTGCATTCAGGAGCCCACGTTTGCTGCAACTGACTTGTTGACAGTCAAGGAGATGAAGCATTATTAGTGTCAGCAGTCCAAGTCCAAGTCAAACTGAAGAATTAAGATTAGATTGAATTGGTTTGAGGAGAATGAAAGGGAAATCAAGCTCGGTTAGCTCGCGACGGCATTTTTCCACTAGAGGGCGCTGTTGCTCCACTTTCTGATCTCGTCAGGCTAGCATTGCGGTGGAGGAAGGTTTTGATTAAAAATATTTACAATCTTACTTTTAATCTTAAATTAGGATAAATTTAACAAAAATAAACAACGTGAACTATTAAATTTTCAAGCTGTGCTTGTCTGACATAAAATTTTGGCTCGCTCAGCATTTCAGACATTCTGGACTGTTGTGCAGAAACTATAAAACGTTAAGTTAATGCATTCCATCAAAACAGAAATGAGTAAAAGCGCAGATATTTACGAAGTTAACTGCGCTCTTCTTCTTTTTCGGATAACAAACGAAATACTTAAATAAAATTTGGAAAATACCCACATTATTTTGTCACCAGAGGAAATGTGGTGTAGTTTTTATTTTTACTTTTAAATTGGGCCTGAATATGTAGAAACAGTGCTGTGTCGAAGAGTACTGTGTTCATGGACAATCTCCAGAATACATGGAGTTTTAAAAGTGCCATGTTTTAGTGAGATGTGGGTTCCTCGGTTTTGGCATTTTGCCCCATTTAATTCCCAAATCCGTCCATTTATTCAGTATACAAATATGCCCATGTTTCAGTGAACACCCATGCTAAACAGTGGAATAAAAGGGCACAAGTACCAAGTTTAGCTCCAAGGTTTTATTGAAAAAAAAATCTTTTAATTTGGGTATTTGCAGGACTGAAGTTCAAATCCTTAATAGTCAGAATCAGTTGTTACACTTCGCATTTGAAAGACACTTGGGAAAACCAAACAACAAAACAGCCTTGCCCTTAACAAGTCTCTTAATGCCCCAATAACAAGTCTCCCATACTCTCAAACACAAATTTTAATAACACATGCCTTTAGCATCTCCAGATTCATCAATAATTTGTTTACCTCCACCACGTTCAGCCATTCTTTGTAGAAATAACTGAGTCGGACATAACTAGCGAATTTGCCTTTCTATGTCGACCTTATTTATAAGAACGAGATTCAATCCACTCGGACTGACCTAGGGATCCTGTCCACATGGGCTGAACAAACCCACGAGGTATGGGAGGTAGCTGCAATCTCTGCCTGCGGCATCTTTGCGTCAGTCTGGGGTTTTGGCATTGGTATTTGGCCGTGGAAAGTCAGCGCGGTGTGATTTAGTGTAAGCCCGTGTCTTTGGCCAGCTGGGGTGTATCTTCAAGGTCTGTTCGCAAGACCAAAGGATCTGTGATGCCCTGGAGACACCGATTATCCCAAAGCATAAAGTGTTCAGCACCTAAAGCGAGAGGAAAGAAGGGAGTGAAGGATGGAAAGACTAGGGAGAAGAGGGAGGGAGGGGAGGAAGGAAGTGTGTGTGAGAGAAAATGTATTTATTGGATATTCAAACGAGAGAAAAGGAAAAGATGAAAGCATGCGGGGGAAACGGTTGGAGGTGTGGAGCCACGCAGCTTTGCACAGCTGCCCCAATCCGGACATTGCCCATTCCCGAAAACGCCAAGCCCGGACTTCCACAGTCTTCTGCTTGCCTTCCTTATGTCTCACAAACCAGACGCTCGAGAGCTTTCTCTCTCTATTTTCTCTTGGGAAAATCAAGTTTACGCTAAGGCCTGCACCCAGTCTACGTAGTTATTTTATTTTATGGATTTGGTATGTGAGCTAAAGTCGTTAGCAGAGGACAGGGCCTGCCTGCAGCTGCCTGGAACCAGCACGATCCGAACGCCGGCTGGGGGACTCGAGTACCTGCCCCCACCCCCACCCCCGTCCCCACCCGGGGCCACAGCCAGCCCAAGTGCGCTGGCGCCGGGCTGGGGCCCCAGAGCCTAGCGCCCTGCCCTAGGAAACGCTTCCTTCCCACCGGGAACGCGCCTGTCGTCGCTCTTCCATTCACTCCCCTCCCCGCGTTCTCTAGCCTCCCCCCACCCCGCGCCCAACACTGACGTCTATCAAGGGTGAAATGATGGAAACTATATTCATGGGCATGATTTCCATTAAGTATCAATTAACCTGGGAGCCTCGGCCAGGCATGCAGTGCGTCAAGGGTAAATGTACATCTCATTTCCACCAGGCCTGCCTGGCTGGAAAAAGCAGGACTCTGATCCGCTTTGATAAGGCCAGGTTCTGGAGGCCGGGATCGTGCCCTTTCCCCAGGACCGCCGAGACAGGCCCAAACGAACGCAAGGACCAATCGCCCCAGCCGTCCGCCTCGTTCAGAAACGCAGAAAGGCCACGGCCAGCCTCCACTGGGCTGTGGGGAGCCTCCTGGGAGTGACCTCCCCGGCTGCCCCAAGGCTAAGGCTTGGCCGCGCCCCCTCTCTCTGCGTGCGCGGGCCCGGGGCCCCGGGAGCCCTTGGCAGTGCGGCTTTATGGGCCCCCTTTAAGGCTGGCGGAGGCATCCCGGGGCCGGCGTGAGGCGTCCCGCCCGGCGCAGGGGGCCGCTTCGCCGCCGCCCGGATCCCTCCGCCGCGCGGTTATCTGGCCCCCATCTCCCTCCCCGTCCTCGCCCTCGCCCTCGCGGTGGCGGGGTGCGAAAATGCCCCGGCGGCGCGCACCGGGGCGGCAGCCTCGGCGGCGGCGGCGGCGGCGGCGGCGCTGGGAGGGGGCGGCGGGGGGGCCGAGGTGAGAGGTGGCACGGGGCGGAGGGTGTGTTTTCTAATTGCGTTTCCCTGCAGAGCGGGGGCTCGGGCGGCCGAGCCCAAGCCGTCTCCCCGCGGGCCGCGCGCGCACTCTCGTCCTCGCCCCCGGTGCGCTGGGGCCGCCTGGTGCCTGAGAGGAAACTGGAGGCCGCGGGGCAGGTCACCGGGGGCGGCGGCGATTATATTGCGGCCCAGCAGGCGCGCGCCGGGAGAGGCCCGGAGGGCGGCGGCGGCGGCGGCGGCGCGCGGGGGCGGGAGAGGCCGCGCGGCCGGCGAGGGAGGCGGCGCGAGGCCGAGGCCGAGGCGGCGCGAGAGCCCGGCATGAGCGCCCAGCGGCCGGACGGCCGGGCCTGAGGGGGAAGCGCGCGCCGGGCGGGCGGGCGGCGACGACGCCCCGGCGGCCCCCGCGGCGCGAGCAGCCGCCCCAGAGGCCCCCGCGGCAGCGCGGCCGAGCTGAGGCGCGCCCCTCACCGGCTCCGCGCCGCCCGCCCGCCCGTCCGCGCGGCCGCCGCCCCGATGAGCTCGTACTTCGTGAACCCGCTGTACTCCAAGTACAAGGCGGCGGCGGCGGCTGCGGCGGCCGCGGCGGGCGAGGCCATCAATCCCACTTACTACGACTGTCATTTCGCGCCCGAGGTCAGCGGCCGCCACGCCGCCGCCCTGCAGCTCTATGGCAACAGCGCGGCCGGCTTCCCGCACGCGCCCCCGCAGGCGCACGCGCACCCGCACCCGTCGCCGCCGCCCGGCTGCGGCGGAGGGGGCGGCCCGCGCCCGGCCCAGGACTACTTCCACGCCGGCGCGGGCAGCCCGGCCGCTGCCTACCAGGCCGCCCCACCTCCTCCTCCGCACCCTCCGCCTCCGCCGCCGCCGCCTCCCCCCTGCGGCGGGATTGCCTGTCACGGGGAACCCGCGAAGTTTTACGGATACGATAACTTACAGAGACAGCCGATTTTTACGACCCAGCAAGAGGCCGAGCTGGTACAATATCCTGACTGTAAATCGTCCAGTGGTAATATTGGCGAGGACCCAGACCACTTAAATCAGAGCTCGTCTCCTTCTCAAATGTTTCCCTGGATGAGACCGCAAGGTTGGGATGCACTTTTTTTTTCTTTTCTTTTCTCCCCCCCCCCGTTTTTTTAAGGAGGGGAGAAATCTGCTTTCGTCTCACGTTCTAGCTTTAAAACTCCCCTGTCCTTTCCCTCTTCCCCCTCTTTTTTCCTTCTTGTGTAGCCACTGTGGCTCTTGACATAAACTAATACCGACTTAAAAAAGAAAAAGTAAGTAAAGATGATGGGCACAGAATAATTGAGAAAAACTTGCCTCTGCTTCTCTTGCCTGCACACCCTAGCTCTGTATCAGAATTAAAGATCACTGTGTATTACATCAAAACCCGTTCCAGACACTTTCAACAGCATTCAGAGATATCAACCATTAAAAGACAAAACATGTTAATTTTTTTTTGTTTTTTGTTTTGTTTTGTTTTGTTTTGTTTTCATCAGCAGCTCCTGGTAGACGGAGAGGAAGACAAACCTACAGCCGATTCCAAACCCTAGAGCTGGAAAAGGAGTTCCTTTTTAACCCCTATCTGACCAGGAAGAGAAGAATCGAGGTCTCGCATACCCTGGCCCTCACGGAGAGACAGGTAAAAATCTGGTTCCAGAACAGGAGAATGAAATGGAAAAAGGAGAACAACAAGGACAAGTTTCCAGTGTCGAGGCCGGAGGCAAAGGACGGAGAACCCAAAAAGGAAGCCCACGAGTTGGAGGAAGATGGAGCCGAAGGCTCTACAAATTGACTTCTAAACTTTTAAATTTTTACCGCAGACTATTAAGACTAATGGTCAGCATATGCTGGTGGATACCACCCCTCCCCCCTTCTTGTTTTTGAGAAAGGACTTTACCTGTGTTTCAAGCTACCTTAATGTCACTGCTCTTGAGGTTTCTGCGCTTTGAAAGGGATTAGGGCGTTTTTAAAAAATGGTTTGTAGTATGGAATAGAAGCAGCCTTTGAGCTGCCCTACAGAAGGGTAATTTGATTCCGACCTTGTAGCTATATTTTTATAATGGTGGTTTTTAATGTCTGAACTGGTGATTTGTCTCAACAACGTAAACTTCCTAACGATCAGCACTAAATGATTGAATATAAAAGGCTTTATTAATCAAACAAGTGCACTTGAACATTTTAAATCTTTATGGTGAGTAAATTAAAAGAAGTCTATTCATAATTTTTTTAAAAATTATGCCTGCAGAATATTTACTTTATATTATTTGATTAAATGGATTATTTATATTTTTCTTTCTGCTTTTGTAACGATTGTTCAGGTGTCTTGTAGTTTACTTCCAGAATGTTTCTTTGAGCATTTTGTAAATGTCTGTCAGGGAAGAGTCTGGCCCAAATATTGGAAAAGCACATTAACTGAAGAGTGCAATGTATAGTCCAGGCTCTGGGCTTCCTTAAACTTAGGAGATTGTTGTGCCAGTGACTAGAGTTTAAGGATAATGTCAAAATCGACATTTAGCCCTGTTTCTGTAGTTCATACAAATTATGGCAATTTGAATAATCTAGAGAATTAATACTTGAAAACTAATTGCAACATTTTCATTAACTTTTCACTCTGGCAAGTGGCCTTGCTTTCATTATGAACCCTGCTTGTAATTGTCTGGGATTTCTAGATCTCTATGCTCTGTGTTTCTGCTTTTTCAAATAGGTGCCATATTTATTTGTATTCTCTTTGCACTGCTTGCATGATCCTTATAAGTCAGCTTGCTGCGTTCATCTCAGATGTCGGTTGGTACGTCCGATCCTCTGCGGTTCTTCAGGAAAGCCATGACTTTACCTATTTGAAACAAGCCCTGAGTTAAATGCAGAAACTCCGAGTGTAAACAACCGCCCCAGAGTATAGCTCTTTAATAAAGAAATGTACCTCCTTAAAGAACAGAGTTAATATTTTTGAGCGCGGGAAACATCATCACCTTGACAGTCACAAACAATGATCAGGGCTCACATGAAGGCAGTGACTTGCTCAAGCCTTGCTCAAGCCTTCTATTTGATAAGCGGGTGTGGCTTATACACCCAAGCTGTTCAACGATGATAACAATGATGATGATGATGATAATAATAATAAATGATGGTCTGGGGCTTCCTTCCAGAGTGGGCTGGCCATCCATGCCACTTCTTGCATTAAATAATCCTGGTATGATAACTATGACAGCTTTGAACTTCAAAATGATTCGTCAAGTCATAGGCCTGCTGACCCAGAGTCCAGGTTACACCACAGCTTAATCCCATAGAGTCCTAGTTGAGGCTGGCGTTTGGCATCTATTATTAACAAGATATCCATTTTCCATTTGGGACTGCTAGTGCAGCTGCCTTTTTATACAGGGGGGAGGGAGGGAGAGAAAAGAGGGGAAGGAAAAGGGAAATTCAAGTAAAGTCTCATTTCTCACTGAAAAATGAAAACACCTTAAAGTCAGTCAACATTGAGAGCTGGCTGCTTTTTTGTTAGACACGTTTACTTTTAAAGACGTGGGTTTTGTTTTATTGTTAATTTCCAGGGTGGTTTATATTGCATGGGTAAGAAAAGAAGATTCTTTAGTTTGGGGCCAGGGTCACTGCTGGTGCTGGCTGGCTGGAAGGGTTGGTACTGCCTGGGTCACAGACAAATCCCCACCTGGCCCTCTACCCAGGGGAGAGGCTGTGGCTGTGACATTTTCGGAAAGACGATTTAAGTCAGGAGTGGCCGAGGCTTAAACATTTGCACAGAATTGACAGCTGCAAAGGCCAGTGCTGGATTTGGGGACATTCTGCTCTTGTGTACTGCATGAATCTATGGTGGCTTGAACAGAGTAAAGGTGCCTCAGACAGAGAGCCTGACTGGAAAACAGCCGTAGGCACAAACTACCTGAAAACCAGTGCTGTCTAAACGTCACCTGCTTTGATTTAAGGAATGCTTTAAATTTTGCTATCTCTAGGGCTCAAGAGATGGCTCAGCAGTTATTAATATTTGCTTTTGCAGAAGACCAGGGTTCCATTCTCTGCATCCATGTGGTGGCTGGCACCATCTATAATCCCAGCTCCAGGGACTCCAATGTGGTGTACATATATAATGCTGATTATATATATATATATACATATACATATATATGTGTGTATATATATATATATATATAAATTTGTTATCTCCAACTCAAGAATGCTCCCCTAATACCACTCTTCAAACTGGAATTTGACAAGATTAAATTAGAAAAGGGACCTACTATGTGGATGAGTGGGGGTGGAAGTCAAGTATGGAAAATCAGGTAAAAATACTACATCTTTGACATATCAGCAGTCTATACTGCTCTAGTAATGCGCTTTTTGGGCCACACTGGCTCCCTAAACCATGGATCGAAGTCCATGTACAGACTATTGCAATAACTGAAGTTTTGAGATTATAAATTTGTACATAGGCATAGCTTCACACACGAAGTGTTGGTAATAAATGTAAATTCTTCCCTTCTGCAGCTATGAAACATACTTCTGTCTTCAAATAGAGACCTTGAGGAATCCCTCCCTCCACACACATCTCTCTTCCTCTCTTCACTCTGGCTCTCTTGCTGTGGTTAGACCCCCACCCCTACCCCATGATGGTGTTGCACTTTAGGGACTAGCTAGTGGTGGGGAGTGCTGCATGATGCTTTTCTAGTTGGCTCAGATCTGCAAACAGTGAGGCACTGCTGCAAGAAACTAAGGGTGTTAGGGTTTTGTTTTGTTTTTCCTGTATAAATTTACATAAACCTTAAGAGATCCTTTTGCAAACCCAGGTGGAGCTTTTCTGCCCTGAAAGGAGACTTAGCGAAGTCTATAAAAAGAGTGGGGGGAAAAAAATCAAGGCCCCTCCATGTTAACACTGACTAAAAGAGAAAAGCCCTCTAAGTGACTAGACTGTGTAAGAGCCAGAAACATAAAAAGAGGGTGTGGTTCGTACTCCTTTTTAAAGAAAAGTCAGTTTATGGGTACCATTTTGTAAGGCCCACAACACATTGCTCGCCCCTGCATAGCAGACAAACAGTGCAACATGGCTGCCTTTTCTGTGCAGTCCCTTCCCTCATTCTCCAAGCTACAAAGGCAGTGATGAAGTCTACTTTTATTTGGATAGAGGGGAGATGATGCAGGATGAGTGTAATTTCTAGAATGTTTTTTAGAACGGAACAATCTCTTTACCCAGTCCCATGTATATTAGCAATGTAAAAATGTTCTAAACTAGGGAAGGAACACCAGCGTACCCATTTACTTGTGTAGTAACATATTGTTTAATCCAGTGAAAAATATTTCACATCCAGTGTCTGTCCTCCATATCTGTGGTGGCTGCTGAATCCTCGGAATGGCTAGAGTTGGAAAGGGGAATAGAGAAAACAGTTTAATGAACAACACATTTTAATGGACCAGCAAAATGAAGGCCCCACTGTCCTTTTCAAGAAATAAGACTTTTGCTGACAGATGGTGGCAGAAGCCCTTTAATTAAAACTGTTCAAGGTCATCAGAACTTTCTCTTTGGATACAAATAGCCGGCACAAAAGGATGCTGTGAATTTCCTACTTAAATAAGTTCATGCCCACTAGTTACTTAGTGGGTGTTAAGATGTCTCTGGCAAAGAACTTATACTCAGAAACATCTTGCTAGAATGTTCTGAAAAGAATGAATAAGCTAGTGACCCCTTTCAGGCAGGAATTGGCAGCTGGCTGGCAGTGCCCATGAGGGGAATGTTGGAGGTCAGCAGAGGACACTGACTTTGAGGTAGAGTTCACCGGAGAGGTTCCCACTGACAGTACAAAGGAAACATGATTCCAACTCTTAAGGGGAAAAAAGTTCTAGATTGTTCTTTTCCTGAACAGATAAAGCCCCTCACCTCTCCAGAAAGGCACTAAGGATTTTTCAATGGTCATAAGAGCACAGAGGACTGGAATTAAATTCCACAAAAGTCTTTATGTCTTTAGGACCTTAAGTGACTGCTTGAAGGGTGGGGTGTTCGTTCCTGTGGTGATAGATAAAAACTCAAAATGGTATTTTTGGAGAGGTAGACAAGTATCTAGAAATATTCATAGCTTTTGGGATGGGAGATTGATCTCCTACCGCAAAAAAACCCAGGAGGCTGGTGGGACCAGTTTAGGTTGGAGTCAAGTGCGAGAAGAGGAGTCATTTCTTGACCTGGGCAGCCGGATTTTCTGGACAAGATTTGGGGTGTGGCTTGCCTGAGATGAGCGGGTAAAAATGGAGAGTGCCTGGCATTCCTTAGGGACAAGTGTCTTCGCCAGGGAAAGGAGAGAAGCCAAGTGACCAACGTGGGGGAGGGGGACGGGGGGCACAAGGGACTGGGGGAGGCGCTGGGGGATGACATCTGCACTCATCTTCCTCCCACATGGCGGCCAATTGTACAGAGATTTTAAGCCAAACAAAAACAAAAATGCCCAGTAATTCCTAGGAAAGGTGTGTGTGTGTGTGTGTGTGTGTGTGTGTGTGTGTGTGTGAGAGAGAGAGAGAGAGAGAGAGAGAGAGAGAGAGAGAGAGAGAAGGGAGAGAGAGAGAGAGAGAGACGGATTTCCGAAGAGAAAGAAGAGATAAAGAAAGAGGAAGGGTAGTAAGGAGAGAGGAGAATGAAGAGAGAAAGGAGAGGAAAAACATGGCGCTCGCGAGCTGTATGTGCAAAATCCGCAAGGAATTGCAGTAAATTCCTTTTTGTTTGAAGAAAATTTACAACTTGGTAATAGACCTTTTTATGACCTATTTGCGGTCGTCATTGGCTGCGGCTGGTCATGTGCAGGCGCCGCTCGCCTTCACGGCCTTTTTCCTGATTTCCCAGGCGAATTTGCCCCCGCATTCTGCTTTCCCAGAGCCTCACCCCCTCTTTTTCTAACCTTTGTCTCTGCAGAGGTGGGCTCCAGTTGCCGGCTGCGGGATCGCGGGGTCCGCAGCGGCCCGGGCTCCCGCCGCGACTCCACCGCAGCTCGTCCCGGGTCCTGACCACTGCAATCTCCGGAGACCGCAGGGAGTCTAGAAGGAGCCCGAGGCGCGGAGCCCCCCGCCGCGGCTCACACTCCTGCGGGGAGCCGCCCGCCGGCTCTGCCCCGGCGACCGGGGCGGCGCGCTTCCCACCCGGTCCTTCCAGCAACATGAGCCCGAACCTGCCGCCCAGGGTGCGCGCAGGCCAGCAGCGCCGGATGGATTCCAGCCGCCACCGGGGCCGACCGCCCGCAGCTCGGCAGCCCCCGGGTAAGAGCCGCCCTCCAGGCGCCCGAGCAGCCCGCGCCACCGCCTCGGGCAATGGGTGCTACATTCCCGGGGCCCTGAATTACCCAAGAACCCGGGAGCGCTCTCTGCGTAACCCTCCCTAGCGCACGTCCCTAGGGACTCGAGGTGGGGTCCTGCTGGGCTCAGAAGTGCAGTGAGGTCTCTTCCCTGCCCCCGCCCCAGAGATCCCTGGACTTGGGAACCTTCAGATCCAGAGCTTCCCCCTCCCCAACCCCGAATCCGCTACGGGAAGAAGAGTGTGCACACGGGTTCTGGGCACCTCGGCTTGGCTGGGGGTGAGGGGTCAATAAAGGTTTCCTATAGTACAGAATACTGTGCTGCTGGGGTTTGACGGTAGCCAAAGCTAACAGGTGTTTTTTGAGGGTTGGGGCATGGGTGGGGGTGGGGTGGGTTCTGTGTACTCAGGATGTTTCTTGAGCGAGGCCAGTTTTTAGGGTTTATAGTTTATTGGGCTTTGTGTACCAAATGACGGTTTCGTTATTTTTAAAATGTTTCTCTAATTCTTAGGGGGAAAACTGGTAATAACTCAAGCTAGGTTCCTCCTACATCTGATAATGTATCAGATGAATTTGTACTATTTTATGTCACAAAATGGATGTTTGTTTTGGGATGTAAGATTGGAAAATCTGGTGCAGGTTTTAGGGCAAA